CATGCTCTCAAATTGCAACAATCCGTCCAATTCTTGCACACAAGCTAATCTCATCGCCCTATCTCCGTGTTGATTATCCTCTTGGGCACGTTCCCTCCTTGGACTTCCACTCTTCCAGCAGTGGATTTGACAAAGGGGCTGTGGGTTCACAAATGTAATCACTGAGCAAAGCCAACAGTGTCACAGAATTCAAATTAACGATGTGTTCCGTGTAGTAGCTGTGGGGTGGGGGAGGGCTTGCCTTTTGATTTTCTTCATTTATACTTTCCGTTTTTACGCCAGGGGATCCTGGAAAATATCCAGCGAAACAAACTGATCTTCATCGAAACGCAGGACGGAGCCGAGACGAGCGTGGCGCTCGAGAAATACCACGAGGTTCGTGTCGACGTGACGGACCTGACGACCGGCGGGTTTCGTTTGCCCTATGTTCAAATGTCCAACACCCGTTGTTGAAACTTGATGCCATTCTTCCACTGGCACGTCCGAGTCGAGCAAGCGCGGGGGGCCGTTTTCCCACTGGCTGTTTGTAATGCCGGGTCATTGCCAAGCATCAAACTCTGGCCTCACAAGACATCTGAATCTGGCTCGAGGCGAAGCAGGGTCTGGCGTGGGGTGAATCAATTTTGTTAAATGCATTTTAAGTCAGCGGCACGGCTTGGTTGCTCCATTGGAAAACCTGGCACCTTTAGGAGTCACGCCGGGATAGCTTACCATGGCCCTGGTTTGGCTGTTTAGTGGAAAAATAGGTGTACTGGAGGTCACATTCACAGCTCGATGGAACTGCGAAGTACCGCATTTTTTAATTCAATCTTGGCGTTGGCGTATTGGCAGTAACATAATTTATTTTGCCAGCGTTGAGACTCCAAGTGTCCTCTGAGGGTGGAGGAAGACTTGGGTCAAACAAACACCTAATACAGACAATACATTTTCAGCGATAAGCCTGATATCCCAATGTATATAAACAAAATTTTAATTATTTCTTCAACGGGACACATTGTCTGATGAGGGTAATGATAATTAAGTTAAATGTTTCCTGCTAGAAGGGTAAGGCTTACACCAATTGAAACATCTCCAGTGTACGTCTCAGGTAACATTGTGATGGTGGTCTTATTCTGTCATACGGCTGATGTAGATAGAGCAAAAACCACAATTTCACATTCAGGTGGTCAAGCGAAGGCGGCGGTGCCTCGCCACAACCAGCTGATGAAACTCAAATTTTGCCCATTTTTGTCAGTGTACTGCTCAATGATGGTCTCCTGACGCTGTGTGGGTCATGGGGGTTATTTGACCATGCTTCACCAAGCTGGTCAGTGAGGGTGGGTGAGCATAAACGTGAGATCAGAGGTACAAGACAACCATGGGTTTTTCTGCATTGCCCCCTGCTGCCTATCGATTAGCATGGTTAGCTACATCAGGTACCGAAATAAGCTCCTACATACATATCGAAAAGAAAAACAATAAAACAACATACATATCGAAAAGAAAAACAAAATAAAAACAAAATAAGACTCGGTATATTCAAACCTAAAAACCACTACCAGAGGACGAGACCCTAATGTGAATAAACTAATCACCTGTGTGTGGGCAGTATTGGCAATGGAGGAGCACGGCGTTTTCCATCAAGTCATTTGCATGCCCACCCTGTCCTCCTGTCAGGCTTGTGAAAACGGAAGAGGAGCCGTGCTTCTATCAGTTGCCAGAGGCAAGGTATCCGAGGGCATCGACTTTGGTGAGGTTTACAAAAAAATGCAATCTGATCCTTCAACTCAGTTTGAGGGTTTCTCGGGGACGTTGATGCTGTTTGGAAGGGCAAAACTGTACAATGTCAATACGTTTTATATTCACTCGAGAGGTTTTTGAGATGCAGAGTGTGGTAAGGGCTGACAGAAACAAATGGTATTCTTAGCTCTTTCGGTAAAGTCTCATCATCAGGTGGGAAAAACCAACGGCAAATGTTTCTTGCCGTTGGTTTTTCACACCTGATTATGACCGTTTGCGTTATGGTCGAAACGTCGTGAGAATTTTTATTGTTTTATATATATTATTATTGTATTGTTTCCCTTCAACGTGACTTTACCGAAAGAGCTAAGAATATGAATTACTGCAGTCACGAAAGCTTTAAATCAAAAATAGAAACAAACGGCTTTACCCGAGGAGAATTGTAGTCACGACCGAATGCTAAAACCTTTTGCAATCGCTTCCCACAGTTCACCACTACGGGCGGGCGGTGATCATGTTCGGAATCCCGTACGTGTACACGCAGAGCAGGATTCTCAAGGTAACGAATACTGGGCACAAACAGTCGGTTCACGCTCGGTTGCACAACTACTTTATATACTGTTATTGGGCAATAGGGTTTGCACACTGGTAACACTTGTGCAGAAAAGTTTTTTGCGGACCCCAAGCGAGCGTGTGGTGGTACCTGTCTGGACTTCAGGCGCGGCTCGAGTTCCTGCGGGATCATTACCAGATCCGGGAGAACGACTTCCTGACGTTCGATGCCATGCGGCATGCTGCACAGTGCGTGGGGCGTGCAATCCGTGGCAAGACCGACTATGGCGTCATGGTGTTTGCAGATAAGGTGGGCTTCCCCCGCCCACCCCTGTGATCACAAGTGATGTTTTTTTTTTTAACACTTTCCAACCAAAGTTAAAATCGTTTGTGCATTAGCTCTGCCCGGGAGGGGCCGACGACGACACAAACTCTCATAACGATGGTCAAATACAGCATTTTTCCCCTCGATATTCGCGAGGGATACATGCCGGAGATGATCGTGAATAGCAAATTTTGCAGATGATATTGGCCTATGAAAACTTTCATGAATTACCTTAAATAAATGCATGAGCTATTAAATACGTGAAAGTTATCACTTTATCTTAGTACTTTCTTACATTGTCTTCCCTCTCATCACTTTTTCTCTCTTGATGCAATCGTGTAGAGTTCCAAATGTAACTCACAGGTTGCCAAAATCGTGGATAGAAAGTTCGTGAATAATGAGGGAACACTCTATACCAAACTCGAATATAAAATGTTGGGGACCTAATCCATTTAAAACCAAACAAATTGTTAAAGGGTTATATCATTGTGTTTGGCTATGATTACCTTTTTGTTATGGCATGGAGCTAATAAAGTGCGGTTAACTGTTGATTATCCATGGGTGGATTACCCTGGTTGCAGATTAACCGTGCTTATGAATGATTTTTTCCACACTGGCTTATTAGTCGCTTCTCACTCAGTGGTCCATAACTCAGTTCCCACAGGACCACAAACCTGTCCTCAAGTCAATAAAGTACTTTAAGCAATACAGATGACGTCTTCACCCCCAATCCACACAGGTAAACATTAAATACATGCCAAGAGCCTAATTGACATGTATTGCATTATCCATATTTTAGTTTTACCTGGGTCACCCCTCCCACAGGTAACCCAAAGTTGATTTAAGCTTAATTTCCATGTTTGTTGGGCTGGTCTCCTCTGTTGGCAGCCAAGTCGGTGATTCTACGTTCCTGGTAAGCAAGCCATTTTCAAAGAGTAGTGGCATCAATGGCATTGTTACCCCTCGACTGTAGCACCATATTAACTAGTTTGATTCCCTGTCCTGACTGCGGGTGCGCCAGCGCTACTCGCGAGCGGACAAACGAGGGAAATTGCCGCGCTGGATCCAAGAGCATATCACGGATGCGAACCTAAACCTCACTATCGACGAGGCGCTGCAGGTCACCAAGCATTTCCTGCGCCTCATGGCTCAGCCCTTCAGACGGGTAACGCACAACCACACTCAAGTCGTGCATCTCGATAACCCTCCTAATTCGTCAGTGCAGCACCAGTTCAGCTGTGCGGTTGCTGCTCACGTTTTCCCGGGTTGTGCTTCGCAGTGGGAATTGTCTGGAAACCGTACCTTGTCGACCACATGCTTAGGGAACTTTAAGATCGGAGTAAAACGATGGACAGTGTTCAATAGAACAGCATGTGCCAGTGCTGATGTTGTGTTCTTCATGTGCCACCGAGAATTTCGTTTTTCTAGATCAGCCTCTGCCAAATAGGCAGATGCTCTGCGATGGCTTACTTTGTCACATCACCAAATCCCACAAATGAACAGCACATGGATGGGCTTTTACGCAAGTTACAAACGGCAAGAGGGTTTAATTTGTGAGAGCATGGCGGCATGCCCCGTTGAATTGGCACATTGCCTTTTTTTTTTTTTTAAACGCGTTCCCACAACATCCCCAGAGCACCACAAGTGCTGTGCCGGCGCGAGCCGTGCAAACAGTTGGTCTCTTCTCCCCATTTCTCCCTTGTGTGCAGGAGGACCAGCTTGGACTGTCTCTCTTAACCCTGGAGCAGCTGCAGTCTGAAGATATGCTGCGCAAGATCGAGCAAATCGCGCACCAGCTATGAGAATGCAGTGGACAACCACAAGCAGTGGGATGCGTAATATTGCTTGCCACAATCAACTGCCTTGGCTGGGCACCACTGTAACCATGTGATTTTTGCCAATCATGGATCAGTTGTACATTTGCCTCCCTGCCCCAACCACCATTGATACCATTAAATACGCGGTGCTGCAAACAATGGCAATTGGGTACCGTTTGACCATCGTTGATCAGAGTAAATGGTTCATCTGCTCATAAGAAATGCATGCTATGCAAGTGCATTTGGAAGGAATTCCACTGTAAACAGCAAATCCACAAATGTATTTTTTAAAAAATAAAATTACACCACTTTGACAATGGCATACAATTTTTCTATTGGATTTACAGTCTGAATACGTTGTATAAATGTCCAACGTTTTATTTTAACAGATTTTCTATACTGTAGTTTATTTTCTATTATATTTTTACACTCTTAGGACAATACTTAAAGTCTGTTGTATATTTAAAGTAGTTGACAAATATGAAAGGTGAACACCAATGCAGAAAGTGTGTAAATGTAAGCAAATAAATATGGAAATGTGTCAATGAGACAACAAACAAGAATTAAAGTAATTTCTCACTGCCAAGTCACAGGAACGAGTTTATTGTTATTTTCTTGCGAGTTTCTTGGTTCCCTCTTAACATTCGCAATACTGTTACATCAAACATTTTGGCTGGTTAGTGGCAACAGGTTAACCTGCTGGGCTACAAGCTAACAAGCTAAATATTGCAGCAAACTTGCAAACAAGGCAGCATACATACCCTGTCAAGTACAAACTACATGTTTGCCTGTTAATGTCTGGGCTCAGGACATTCCTTTAACTAAGCAATAAAAAAAAGAGTGCAAACTGCAAAGCTAGCGCTTGCCGACTTGCTTTTGTTTAAAGTGCTTATGGAACAAAGCTATACCTTTTTAATATGCAGTGGCAAGAATAAACCAAGGCTTTTAACCAAGTCCTGTGGGAGCTTGGGGAAGAGGCAAGGGGGCAAGTTATAAATTCATTGTCACCCATCTCAAGAATTGCTCAGCACTCAAATAACCCCACCACCTGCATAAATACATACGAGTTGGTACGGCAGGTTAGTTGAGGTAATTAATGCAGGAGAGTGATCATCACTCACCCTGATGATTTCTTCCCCACCCACGTACCACCATCTCAAGTTACGAACCTCATCTGGACTGAAGCCTGTTGCTGCTAACTCCAACAAAGACGGTTATACACAACATCGACTACATCACTACATGTTATTTACTGTAGATACGCTTTAAAACACACACACACACACATGGCAAACCTTACAATATTATTAATTCTATAAGCAGCACAGTGCTACAGGAGAAAGATGTGTCCATATTATTTTAAGTAAACCGCTGAAAAAAGGCACAATGTAACACTTTCGTTTTAGAAAACTTGTCACGAAATGTGCTGGCAAATTTTCAGACAACTCGATTAGGTACAAAACAAAGCAGGCTTCCAAACGGAGTACACGTTTTCTTGCATGGCTACACGCAAACACAAAAACTTAACAAAAAGAATAGTAATATTCAACAATATTACTTGATAATACGCAGGGTTTTCAAGTGTCATACCAGAACATATTTGAAATTCGGGAAAACTTAAAATGACATGCAAACAATACAATGTGCAGTCATTCCCCCCTCGCCCCGCCGGATTAAATACTTGTTTGCTTTAATAGAAAAATCTGTGTCCAAGAAGTGCGTATGGCCATGTATACGCAATCATCTTCAACGGTACAGTTAAGGGGGTCTGGCATCACTTACAAAATGCATGATACAAAAAAATAAAAATGCAAATGTGATGTAGTAAAAAGGCTATGTAAATAAAAGCAACGTCCTCAACTAAAATAATATGAACCTGCCGTGTACTCTGGTAAGGTAAGAGTGGAAGCAAGTGGTCATTAACAGTGCATGCACAAGTTACTTTTGAGTCAGGGTTTGTGTGACCATGTGCCGACCAGCAGCATATAAAAACATTCCCCTTTTTTGCTGCCTTTCCCCAGCTCAGGTCGGGTCCAGACATTCACAGCTTTTATGTTTGTAGTTGCTGTAGTAATATTACTAAAACATAACCACCAGAAAATCCAGTTACGGCATGTAGTGCATTTCTTAAATTAAAGTTGATAGAACGGTTTTGTCCCTGTAATGCATTTTCACTTATTCTAAACGGCAGTGATTTATTTGCAGTGGACTCGGTACCCCCCCTGCCCCCCCCCCCCAAAAAAGTATTTTTTATTGCGCAAAGTTGTCAGTCATTCATGTCTCGGTCGTGACGAGATAGGTTCTTAAAGGCCTATGCCATGACAAGGCATTGTAGGCGTCTGCTTCCATGTCAGTTTTTTTATCTGTTCCTACTGCTCAACCTACATTGGACTGCAAATCAAGTGCATGTGACATTCTCAGGGAATTGGCCAAGTCGACATTAGTTTTATATTTCCGTGTGCCTTGCGCCTAGTTTACACCACAATGACTAATGCTATGGAAATTTCTAAATGACAATTACATAATTCACTCCATTTTGCAACCTTCTATCGCCTTGGTGCAGCTTTAAGTCTACCAATTCATACATTTGCGGTGAATGTTGGAACAAATGGTCAATCCACTTACAAGCATTTAAAAACCTGACATGCCTTTGTAAAAAAAAACTTGCCAGACTGGAACTTGTAGGACGCAAGCAAGCAGTGCTGGGTCTAATTAAATAATAAAGAGCATTGTATCATCGTTTTCAAGCGTGTTGCTTTATGCTATTGGAACACATGTACACTGCGGTCCTATATATTGCAGTGATGCTTGTTTGGTGGATAAAATATGGAGGCTACGTATCGTTTGCTGGCAGGATCACTTGCAAAGCACACATTTGTGTCTATAGTGTCTAAATAGTGCCATGCATTGGGAGTGGCATATGCTTGGCAGTGACATTTGTTAAACAACGGAGGCAAAACTTAGTTGTGAAGTATTCATAAATACATTTTGTATGACATGTCACAATAGTCCAGCACCAAGTAATACAGTCCTGGTGTGTCAATCTTTCCAAATTTTTATAACAGCCACACATCCTTTCAACCTCCAATGGAAAATTAAATAAAAAAGGTGCAACTCTAAATAACCCCCACTAATGTTCTCTTTGTGCAGTGCTAACTGCATGTTAGCAGAACAAAGCATTAAAATAATTAACAATGCATGGTAAAATGGAGTTGATTAAAATCATGCTCTTCATGGTAAAAAAACATGTTAATATGTAGAGACTTGAAGATACAAAAGCTACTGTATCCTGCAGTAACATTAATATGCTGAAGACTCAATTTATATACAATACACATCTGCAACATAAGTTGTGCTTACTCTGCCAATGTATGTTCACACATCCGAACTCGTATTTAAAAAAAGGAAACAAAATAAAACATTCCCTTGCTGCCCCTTGTAACTTCTTTAAACTCAGAGCATTGCTTGTAACTTATTTACACAAGTGCATTAAAATGTTAACAATTTTGGCAATTACACCTAGGAGATTAATAAGACTACTGGTTTTACTGCTGATGTTTTGACAAGTCAGTCAATGGCTGTGTGATCTATTGCAATGTATTATCCTTTGTTTACTGCATGTCACATGTTGAGCAAGTCGGGAAATGTTCTCATGTTAAGCAATCTAATCCTAGCTTGCATTCGAGCTGTTTTAAGAAAAAAATATTTAACAGAAATTTCTCAGAGCATCAAAGTACGTCCCTTGACGTTTGTGCAATGCCTTGAGCTAAACAGTGGTTGTACAATAAGAATACTGTGGCAACAATTTGTGTACCATAATACAGTACCGTATTTGTGTTTCTAATTTGAGATGTTCTGTAAATCCAAATTGTGTGTTTTTTTATGATAGCTCCATAATAGTGGGAATTTGATTTGTTTTTTTTGCAGCTTTTTCCTAAAAACACAACTGCTGGCTCCGAAAGCCCAGTTGTAAGTTGTCTGGACAAGAGTACAGATTTATTTTAAAAACATAACGTTTTTTATACCATCATTTTCATGAATCTCCAAAAGCAGTCCAGGGATGAGGTTATCAGTGCATCACAGACTGATACATCATATTAGAAATAAAATGGCAAAATACAATTCCCAGATATTTTCTTCAGAGATTAATTGTTGGACTACTACTTGTAAAGTAATGAAACTGATGGTATGGGATAAAATTGTATAAAATAGCAATTAACCCTTTCCCATTCCGAGACGTTGACAACTTGCAAGGGTGGGTCCCCCTTTCACCCCTGCATGTTGGAACGCGCAAGCGGTTAGCGTTAACTTTATTTAGGTGGCAAAGCAATGCTGTTTTTAAAGATTGCACTCACCGCAGAGAACTGTAGCAACACGACCGCACTCTACGATAGCTGGTGCCAAATTGTGCCACACGCCCTCCTGCATTCAGTCCAGAATCGATTCGATTCCATTCAGAATCTATTACGTTCCAATGACATACACGTACGTAATCAGAATGGAAATCAGAAGAAAAATTGATGACACACGTCGTTTGAACGCGAAAGGGTTAATAATATCCTTCTTTGCATATTGTCACCAAGACTTGGTGGCATAAATGAGGTGCAGTTCAATTTGTGGTAGCAAATATCACCACTGTCATGCTAATCTTCCTAGTCAACTGGTGCACATTTGCAATTTAAATATATTACACACATGATGCCATTTCATTTACCGCTGCCTGACATGAATTCTCTTCACCATAAAGTCCAAGCAGTGTCGCGTTTGCTGCCAGGCAGGATCCACTGTGACTCGGGAGCAGCCATCACGGGCGGACGTGCCACTAGCACCCGGGCCGTCCCTGCGCAAACAGCCCGACGGGGAAGTGCTTGACGTGCGTTGGCCACTGTGCGGCGAGCTGGAAGAACTTGACGTCGTTCCATTCCACGCCATCTACAGTCACTGGGGAGAGGGAAGATGATCGTAGAAAATAAATGCGGGTGCCATGTCTAAAAGTACAACCCATCGGGAGTGGCTACGGCCGTTTCATGGGTCAACGTGGAGGGGGAGCAGCGTTTAACACCAACTTAATGCGGCTTGGGCTTGCCGACCGAAATACATTTGCCCCGTTTTCAATTAGAAATATAAGTCATAGGATGAACACATTTCCAATATGAACTGTCGCAGCTAGTAGTGCATTAGCCTGTATAAGATGATGCCAGATAACCGTTTAAAGTATCTATCCACAATGGAGAAATAATATGCACTGTAAGTAGCTATTGTTGTAAGGTTGTCATTTCCATAATAAGACATAGCTGGGCTATGTCTTATTATGGAAATGACAACCTTGGTGTTTTTAAGCAGTCATTAGTTGAGAGACTTAAGACCACAAACTTGCTAGAACCCACAGTTTAATAACCAGTGGTTGCCTAAATTCGAACCCAGGATCTTAACCGATGCTGCTCATTACCGAAATTAAATCACTTGCATGAACCGCCTGGCCACTACCCACTATATATGTAAAATTTCAGAGGGTCAAAATATGAAATTTTATGTATGAATACATCTGGTACCACGTGTAAAAATTATGACTATTGTGTGCAAGGCACAATATATATGATGAAAGATGCACACAATATTTTGCATCCACCATGCCAAGCGTAGTTGGCATGAGCTCCTTTGTAAGGAATTAAAGGAGGTCTCCTGTTGGCTTTCACCACGCTTTGTCGCCCGGTGCCTGGGCCCCTCTAGTCCACTGACCCCAGTGCAGCTGCACCACCTGCACACTTGATAATAAAGACACTGGTTGCCTACCTTTTAACATGGTTTGCTGCTGCTTGGCTGCGCATATGAGGCGGCTGATTCCATCAATCACTTGACTCTTGGACTCTATATCCTTCTCCTTGGGCTTCTTTGTCAGGAATATTCCTGCATTGCCACATGTGAAGATTTGCAATCATTCAGGAGCCGTCGCTGTCACAATCAAGAGCAAGAGAGCTTAAAGGCAATATGTATTGCTGGTGCTTATGGGCAGCAATGAATCACTTATTCACGTCCTACAGAATATTTGCATAATTTAAATGCATGCGATGGCAATGCAACAAAATCAAAAAACCCATTTATCGACTGCGATTAAATTTGAAAAATATAATTAACCAAACAAGTGGAAGTTGTGTAACATTCTTATGCAACCGACATTCTGAATACACATCGCTACATTATAAGTGAAGAGTCCTCGACACACATTTGAATATATTGAACGAGTCATAAAAGGCTTATTTTAAGCGTTCCTAATTTTAGTTTAATCTTCAGCATGGAGCCAAATATTTAATAAACGTGGTATATACCACGATTTTGCAAGGACTACATCTTCATAAATTTGGGTCAACGACATTCAATGGATTGCTTTTACCCGACATCATAAAACAAATGGGAGGGAAACCATGTTAACCCCTTGTTTGTCATAATTCTCAGTGGACTGAAGGAGTTCTAGGTGATAACAGCTCACAATTTATGGCTGCATGATAATGTTTTATTGTATGGAGAAACGTGTTGCTGTGCTACCAGACAAGACATCACAACTTGAGTGTACTTAAAGTTAGAAATTAAACAAAATATAATGCACAATACAAGATAACCGACATTAATGGATACAATTTCAAACATCCAATGTATACTATTATTATAGACACCTTTGTCTCCCTAGTGCACACAAGACACATTTTAAGGCCGAGTAGACCCTCGGGGAGGTCTATGCCAAGTTCAAATATTTGCCACCGATGTGGGCCATTAGCAGAAGTTGAACTCGGGTTACACCGCGTTTGGAGCGTAATGTGCCAATGGACTCCTCCCGCCACTCCACCACACAAAGTCAAATTAAGTCATTGAACGTCTTAAGGAATCCCAAAAGATTGTGCTCACCCTTCTTGTTCTTCTCCTTGGTGACGACGGTCATGCACATGCTGGCCGTGGCACTCTGTCCCTCCCCGGGCCCCGTGGGCAGCCGGCTGACCTGCAGCGAGCGGAAGTTGCTCTTCAGTGTCGTTTTGCCGCTGCCCTCCTTGCGATCACGCTCACCCTCGCGCCGCCGCTCGGCACCTGCCACCGTCCAGTAATCAACGTGGAGCCCCATGACCTCACCACCCTGCCAGCTGAGAATGGGTGAGAGGCAGATGGAGGCGTGCGGAGGGGATGGGATGGGCATGGTCACGCAGCGAGTTTCAGCGACAGCAGTTATGGGTGACGCACAAGGAGGGGAGTGATGAGACAGAAAGGGTGTAAGACACAACAAAGTAGCAGGTGACCTCGAGAAAATTAACAACAAATTCTATTGCCGAGACCATAATTTTAAATCACAACTTATATGCATATCTGCAAGGAGCCATTTGTTTTTGGGTTACATCTTCCTTTATAAAATGGTGCTCAACATATATATTAGTAAGGTTCATGTGTTGCAATCATGTCAGAGAATGTGCAACGTTACATCACAGCTTGCAAAATGTCACAACGTATGACAAATATCCTTAATTTCATTATTTCGATTATATACATAAATGAGACACATGGCCATTCATTGCACACACAAATAGAGAAGGCTCAGGCACATTTAGGATTATTTGGCTTCACTATTATCAGAATATCAAAAACCAGCATTATACGAGCAGTGTAGCCACAGGAAACTACCGTGTTCGTATTGCACTGCACCCGATTTCAGATCTTGGAAGACAACCAGGGATGAGCCTGGATATTGCTTGAATGAGTGACTATGGATAAAATAGATAGTATAGGCTGCTGTGGAGCTATGTTGTCAGCAACAGCAAATCCCATTGTTGAAATCTACTTCAACGCCTACATATTCACCATCTTCACCAACCGCATTAACCAATGCGGTAGTTTGGTTAAATAACCTCCATGACCCACATTGCGTGAGGAAGGCCTCATCCAGCAGTGGATTGTCACAAAGGGGCTGTGGATGTACACGTAGAACACCCAATGGATACCTGACAGGGGAAGGCCCAACAGACGGAGAGGCTGGGGGTGTCGGGCAGATGTCCTTGGAGCCACCTCCGCCCATGGCGCTTGTAGACGGGGTGGAGGTCAGCGACACGGAAGGGTACAGCAAGGACTCATCCATGTCCGCTGGTCACACAATTAAAATGCGTCACCTTGGTGTGTTCATTGACAAATCGTGATCAATAACTTAAACCTGAGTACCTATTCTAAAACCCTGGAGGAATGGCTACTGAATGATTAGGGGGACACAGATAGGTTCTGTTGATTGGTGGGTGGGGGGGGGAGCATATAAATTCCATCGGCCTTTCCCCATAGAATTACCACTGTAACGGGCTCATTTACATCAATCCGTGTGGTATGGAAATGTGTACGAAACACCAAGAGAAACAGCAACTTTTGAATGTCGCGGGACGTTAGGGCTTGCACTCAAAACGCGTGGTCTTCAAATTTCATACATGCCAAAGCACAATTAATGTAAACTAGTTTTTTTTAAAATAGAAAGGCACCATAAATAATGGATTAGTAAACTTATATAGGAAATGCATTTATTTCACACAACAAATTGTAATAAAACTGTAAATCACTGAAAGGCGAAAGAGTGCATCTTAAATATAGATTTAAATAATTTGTTCAATCCATCACATATCTTACAGCCATGAAGCAGTCAATTAAATGTCTTTCTTATCAACAATATAGAATATTTAATGGAATACATTACAAAACCTAAAGTAACAGTCCATTTTACATTTAAAATGTAAATGATTAGCTGATGTAAATTAAAATGTGTCGGCAACACGGTTTGTTGTAGCCTAAGGGCCAAAATTGTGCCACTAAAATAAATATATGGACAGCGCCATGAATTTGTACAAAATAAAAAAAAAACCTTGAATTGTGGCCAGACTGGCCTGTCACTGAAATGTACGCATCATTGACCCTTCTTGGGCCCCATTACATCAACATTTTCTGTCAGACATAAAAAGCCTCGGCACTATTCTTTATAGAAATGTGGACCATTCACAGAGTACCAACAGACCACTGCAAATTCAATATTTCTATGAAGATCACAACCTTTTATTCTTGACTTATGGGCAGCTATACTGTCACTGAACACAAAGCGGTTTACTGATATATTGGAGTCGTCTCTTGACTTTTTTATGACTGCATTGGTCATTTTAGTGCAGTAATTTTTTTTGTACTGTATACATGTCTTCATTACAAAAGACACGTATCAGAAAGGGCACTCGCATGATAATATAGTTCATTGGATGCATGCAAACATTTGGAATTTAGGTTGCTAAATATTATTTTAAGTCCACTTCAAAATATTCTTTGTAAAAATGAACTAGGAAACATGTCGCGTGGAAAGAAAAACTAAAATAGCAAAATGGGGGCTTATTCTTTGACAAAGCCAACACAGAAATTTACAAGAGAAATGCACACGTTACCAATAGGAGCCGTCATCTGTTCAACCACCCCAACGTTAACAATCTGAAAAATAACAGAAATAATATATTACAAGTGTATATGTTTACCAAGGGCTTCATATTCTTTGGGTCTTTTGGTAAAGTCACATAGATAGGGTCAAAGAAAATGACAAAAAACTACGATGTTTCGATCGCAACACAAGCAGTCATCAGGAAAAGGGGGTTATAGCCTCCAAAGGCAAACTGTTTATGAAGGTTTAAAGATGGGCATAGCCCAAGTGTGTCAGCAGCATGGGCGGGGCAGCTAATGTTGTCAATATAGGGGAAAAACAAGACACCAGCAGTGGGTCTCCACCAATCAAAGGGTCGCCAGGCAAACATTGCACCTCGCTCCACACACCCACACTGCTGACGGTGGAGGTTGCTGCCAAAGGTGATGGTAGTAGTGGGTAATGATGGTGCTGGTGGTGGGCTTCCACCAATAAAGGGCTACTGCTAGTGATGATGGTAGTAAGTGGGCAGTGATGTCCTGGTGGTGGGCTCCACCAATTAAAGGGCTACCAGGTCTAAAATGGAAACATTCCAGCCAGTTATGACTTAAACTGGTTGATAATGTCCTTCCAGTGATTGCTGTGTTTGTACCCACCTTCTCGGTTGAAATTGTGTATGTCTGTATATATGGATGGCTTCATGAACAAATCTTTGTTGATAGCCAGCGCATTAAAGCAATGATCAGCCACGGCCGAGGTATTGGTGCTACGGTGTTTCAGATCTGCCTTATGTTCACAGACTCGGTCCGAGACACGTCACTTAGTTTCCCCAATGTAACTACTGCTGCAGACGCAGCTTAGTTTGTAGATGCCGGGGTATTGCATGTCAGGGATCACATCTTTCACAGATGGGATCAGATCATCAATTTTCTGTACTGTGTTAAATCGAACCTGGATCTTGTGTTTGCTCATGATTTTGGAAATATTTTTGGTGACCCCTGCTATGTATGGCAAGGTGATGGTTTTGATTGGGTCCTCAGATGGTTCTTTCCCAACGGTTGGGGTAATAGCTTTACACATTGTGTAGTCTGAATATCCATTCGTCTTGAGAGTTTGGTGTACGTGTTCCAGTTCACTGGCTCGGTGATGGTTGGAAATACATCGAGCTCTGATGAGGGGATTCTTCTGGGATGGATGGTGGTGGGGAGTCAGGTTTTAGGTAGACATCCATACGAGTTACTTTCCTGTAAACAATGGCCCATTGAGCCATTTGGTCCCTTTTCAATTAAAACATCCAAGAATGGTAGCTTGCAATCTTTTTCTACCTCCATGGTGAATTTGATGGCTGGATGTATGGAATTGATGTGGTTGAGGAATTGGTTCAGAGTTGGTCGGCCATACAGCGAGGGAAAAAAGTATTTGATCCCCTGCTGATTTTGTACGTTTGCCCACTGACAAAGAAATGATCAGTCTATACTTTTAATGGTAGGTTTATTTGAACAGTGAGACAGAATAACAAAAAAATCCAGAAAAACGCATGTCAAAAATGTTATAAATTGATTTGCATTTGAGGGAAATAAGTATTTGACCCCCTCTCAATCAGAAATATTTCTGGCTCCCAGGTGTCTTCTATACAGGTAACGAGCTGAGATTAGGAGCACTCTTAAAGGGAGTGCTCCTAATCTCAGCTTGTTACCTGTATAAAAGACACCTGTCCACAGAAGCAATCAATCAATCAGATTCCAAACTCTCCACCATGGCCAAGACCAAAGAGCTCTCCAAGGATGTCAGGGACAAGATTGTAGACCTACACAAGGCTGGAATGGGCTACAAGACCATTGTCAAGCAGCTTGGTGAGAAGGTGACAACAGTTGGTGTGATTATTCGCAAATGGAAGAAACACAAAAGAACTGTCAATCTCCCTCGGCCTGGGGCTCCATGCAAGATCTCACCTCGTGGAGTTGCAATGATCATGAGAACGGTGAGGAATCAGCCCAGAACTACACGGGAGGATCTTGTCAATGATCTCAAGGCAGCAGGGACCATAGTCACCAAGAAAACAATTGGTAACACACTACGCCGTGAAGGACTGAAATCCTGCAGCGCCCGCAAGGTCCCCCTGCTCAAGAAAGCGCATACATGCCCGTCTGAAGTTTGCCAATGAACATCTGAATGATTCAGGACAACTGGGTGAAAGTATTGTGGCCAGATGAGACCAAAATGGAGCTCTTTGGCATCAACTCAACTCGCTGTGTTTGGAGGAGGAAGAATGCTGCCTATGACCCCAAGAATATCATCCCCACCGTTAAACATGGAGGTGGAAACATTATGCTTTGGGGGTGTTTTTTTGCTAAGGGGACAGGACAACTTCACCGCATCAAAGGGACGATGGACGGGGTCATGTACCGTCAAATTTTGGGTGAGAACCTCCTTCCCTCAGCCAAGGCATTGAAAATGGGTCATGGATGGGTATTCCAGCATGACAATGACCCAAAACACATGGAGGTGGAAACATTATGCTTTGGGGGTGTTTTTTTGCTAAGGGGACAGGACAATTTCACCGCATCAAAGGGACGATGGACGGGGTCATGTACCGTCAAATTTTGGGTGAGAACCTCCTTCCCTCAGCCAAGGCATTGAAAATGGGTCATGGATGGGTATTCCAGCATGACAATGACCCAAAACACATGGCCAAGGCAACAAAGGAGTGGCTCAAGAAGAAGCACATTAAGGTCCTGGAGTGGCCTAGCCAGTCTCCAGACCTTAATCCCATAGAAAATCTGTGGAGGGAGCTGAAGGTTCGAGTTGTCAAACATCAGCCTCGAAACCTTAATGACTTGGTGAAGATCTGCAAAGAGGAGTGGGACAAAATCCCTCCTGAGATGTGTGCAAACCTGGTGGCCAACTACAAGAAACGTCTGACCTCTGTGATTGCCAACAAGGGTTTTGCCACCAAGTACCAAGTCATGTTTTGCAGGAGGGGTCAAATACTTATTTCCCTCATTAAAATGCAAATCAATTTATAACATTTTTGACATGCGTTTTTCTGGATTTTCTTGTTGTTATCCTGTCTCTCACTGTTCAAATAAACCTACCATTAAAATTATAGACTGATCATTTCTTTGTCAGTGGGCAAACGTACAAATCAGCAGGGGATCAAATACTTTTTTCCCCTCACTGTATGGCCAGATGACGAATGTGTCATCTTCGTACCTCTTCCACAAGGACGGACGTACAGTGGATACCTGGATGGCGTCTGTCTCAACATTTTCCGTGAAAACATTGGCTACAACCGGAGATAAGGGAGAACCCATTAGGGTACCTTCAACTTGTTTGTAGGATGTTCCATTCCAGGTGGAGTAAGTGTTGGTGAGGCAGTGTCTAACCAGGGCCGGTACATCAGCATGCAGTCCTTGTTGGACCAAATCTTAAATTGATTCCAAACTACGACGTTTGATTGGTGGAGACCCACTGCCGGCGTTGTTGTTTTCCCCTACATTAATATTAGCTGCCCCGCCCAATCTGCTGACACACTTGGGCTACGCCCATCTTTAAACCTTGAAAAACAGTTTGCCTTTAGAGGCCAACCCCCTTTCATGATGAAGACTGCTTGCGTTGCGATCGAAACGTCGTAGTTTTTGTTATTTACTTTGAACCTATCTATGCGATTTTAACCGAAAGACCCAAAGAATATTAATTCCTGCAGTCACGAAAGCTTTAAGTCAAGAATTACCAAGGGCCTCAACAATAAAAAATGTAACAACGTAAACATGCGCATACATTTACTTACGCTGATGAAGGGAATAAACTTCTGACAAGACTCCTCTTCAAGTCTGTTTTAAGAAAGGGATGTTTATAGATTAACACTTTGTCATCATGAATGATCAAAACACGGAAGTAAGCTTTAATAATTTAAGAGTCAAATTGCATCATGACAACAATGTGTCACAGTAACTTTAAAAATGAAAATTATACTATTTCTGGCGAATCTATATTCAATATTGACTGCTGCTGCTATGCTTTACAACTGACAAACTAATATAGCAAAACAAGCCACATTTAAATTAGAAAACAATGCCACAATAGATGCAGTGTAACTCAAACTGGTTTTATTTAGCACATGGATAAATAGTTTTTGTTTTGTAATCTGGGTGTTATATCTTACTACCTCACTCATTGCTCACATTAACTATCTTTTAATATTGGCACCATACTTCATTCGGTTTCTTTTGTGGAGATGTTTGCAGGGAAGTCCTCTAAAAAGGGATGTCAAATATTCTTGGAGGCTTTGTCAACAAAAGCACAATAATATAAGATGTTTGATTTGTGGAGCAGGTTGTGGAAAAAGTATATGCAAAAAAATAACTTAATGAGAAACTGTGAATTTGTGAGATTCTGTACTACTGACACTACATTTAGATAACCATTTTACTCTACACAAAAAGGGAATAGAATTCTCGACTTGAAAAAAATCTAACTTTATTTTCGCACAATCGCTGGGGTGTGATACAGCTGACATTTACCAAGTGAGTAATAGTGTGGCCCAATAATAGGAAAATAACAAGAATCCCTACATCCTGAAACAGGCCATGGCAGGAAATAAGTGGGTTTTTTTACAGGTTGGCTTCACACTTGGCGTGATGCCAAAACGTTTTCCTGGCATAATCTTAACTCATTCTATGGAAAACCATTTTCTGAACGCGATTCACAAGTATCTAATTTGGCACAAATATAGATTTTTTTTTTTACGAAGGTGCTGCAACAACTGATAATGGTCAGTGCTTTGGGAAATTATAACTTCCTCCTCCTTTTGAATCAGTGGAGGAGGGACACAAACTTGAGAGTTACTTGTTGATGTCACTGCTAACTCCTGATGTGAGAAAACACTCAAACTGGTGACAATGACACAAGTGCTCCGCCGGCATGTGTGGGCATGCAAATCCGTAGCATTTAAAAATTGCAAGGACTGCATATGCCAACTCTCTAGGGGGGTTTTGGACAACCGCTGTGTTCAGTGCTACCGCCTCATGTCCCTGCAGGCAATGGGCTGTACGTTTCCACTTGACAAAAGGGAGAGGAAGGCTCAAACGCGCAATTGTGCATCAGAGCGGAAGGTGCCAGACAAGCATCAAACATGGCCAAAGATCGGGGGGCATCAGGGGGAAACCTAAATGGTGCTGCTGCATAGACACAGATTTTGATTTACAAACAGAATAACACAATTTGCTAAATCGTGGCAAAGGATAATGTAAAGCTGAAAACGGAAACAACTATGTGTCCTTATAGGATTACATTTGAGGTAGAGAAACCTTACTTGAGGTCTCTTCTAAAGAACCCGTCTCAAAGCAGGATTGCCTAGTGTTAACCGACTAAATTATTTTGTAACTTCTACACGTTTCACACACGTTTCTAAGCAGCTATTCATGGTAATTTCAATGGTTGTTGCAGAACAAGACTAACGTACATTTTTAGGGATGGATTTTCCATTTTTATCACGTAAATAGGATTAAAAACATTAAATCACTGCAAAATGAAAATAAATGAAATCTGCGATTGCATTGAAGAAGTGGATTTACAACTAAAAGAAAATGCGTCGTAATGAGATTTCATCGGATTACCCCTTTTGTTTGTAGGTCAGCATGGCTTCTGCTATGGGCAACGGGTGAGTCACATTTGCCCCGGAAACATAACCAACGATGCGAGTTGTAACATCAAGTAAATCTGTAAGAGAATTAGAAAACATTACAATAATATAATTCTTGCAGCTCTGTTATACAAATGAAAACGTTCCAGTCAGCCAACAATATCACGTAAAGAAAAAAACACATTACTTCATTATTTGTGACAACAAATTTCTGAGGAAACAGTAAAGGGGGCTGTTGACAGCAAGATGAAAAGGAGTAAAATGAGTAAGGGAATACGAGTACACATGAATCAATTCACTTGTGAATCATTAGCTTCAAAAAAAAATTATTCTTCTATAGCCTCAAATGATTGGCTTGTGTGTATTTCAAATTTAAGTTTGCAAACACACCTTGGGAAAACTTCAAAGCACATATTCAAAGGGTATTTATTTATTTCACAATAATTGGCAATTTAAATAGTAAAAGATAAGGGATATATATAAAACAGGTCCTTGTAGGAATAACCTCGACTTTAAAGGATGAAACAAGAGTGTATTGTGGCAAATATTTAGTTAAGCTGTGTTTCAGGCTGTCCCACACACGTTTGAGGCTTCATAAATTAGAAACAACATACTGTATATATGAAAAGAACATAAAGTGACTTCATACACACTCTTAACATCACTCAAGTGATCCTGTGAACATGAACAGTAACCACATCATTTATGTTGCTGGTGTGCTACTACTCAATCCAAGTACGTTTTTGGGTTGAAGCTTCCTTTAAAAAGCATAGGATGGTATCTGCTTCTTAAAACATGCAAAGCCCTAGAGCTGTTGAATGTACATTACAACTGACCTGTCGTGGGAGGCTCCGGATGGGTGAACATTTCCTGCCACACAGGGTCCAGGAACACACCCCCGTACTTGCTGTCCAGAGAGGCGAGGTACTTAGCCAAGCCGTGGCAGCCTACGCAGGGAGGCACACCCACAAATCAGTGAGATTCATCACAATGGTATGCAGTGCTACTGGCTAACATTACACTACAGTAAATAAATGCAAGTGGGAACAGTGGTAGTTAATCCCCCGTGGCCACCATGAAGGTTATTGATATCACACCCCTTATTTAATGCCCGAGACTGGAAGACATTTTCACAATTCTAGCAACTGACTGATGATGCTGGTTTTAACTCGGTGAAACGTTGTGCCCAATTGTTAAATGGTGTGAGAGAATGCTCTCAAACCCTAGTGTGAAAAAAACTTTATTGGCTGGCTGCGTTGGGTGCAGGAAGGTATGCGACACATTTTTTGTAATTGTAAAATCGTAATTTTGTAAAATCGTAATTGATTTTTGCGACACACGCAAAAATCAATTACGAATCAACGTGTTAAAAGTTATTGATGTCATTATCATCATGTAAGTAGCACATGTATATTAAGTATTCAGGGCGCTCACCTACGTATGACCCATTGACACAAAAAAAATCATCGCATGTTCAAATGACAGATACAGAAGAGGGGTAAGCTACCAATCAGCACACTTGCCTAGACACGTAAAAATGTGACCAATATGCAAGTTATGATACATTACAGACTTAGAAAGTGCTGCTGCCTACTGCAATTTGCACATCAAACATGTTCATTTTATAACCAAGCATAATAAATGAAACTGTACACCTAATACACATACATGTTTGGCGAAAAAATTATAAAGGCTCAGATTTTATAAAGCTTTCACATAGTGCAGCAAATGCAGTTGGAAATGAAGTCTTCTCATGTAGCCTACCCAGGTCACACGTTAGATTTGCTGATGACAAAACTCGAGAAAATACGGTCTCGGCCATTTTAAAAATACATAAAACTCATATGTCAACAAAACCTTACAAAAACCAACACAACCACCCCAGAGCCTCACACATAATTTACCAAGTGGGATTATGAGAAACCGCAAGAATCCGAGCCAGTCGGAGGTCTTCTGAGAGAGCTGGTCAACAAAGCAGCGGAGCACGGCGTGGAGGTGGCTCAGATCACCAACCACCGCCACGCGTATGGGCTCTGGTGTCTGCGGGTTTGAGTTGCAACTACGTTCACACCACCAGGAGCGGGAAAGGGAAACGGTTGAGACGTGTACTCACTACAAGCAAAGTGGGCAAGCCGTGCCAACATAAATAGGTAAGTTAGCTGTGACGGTATAACTAGGCATGCAAAGATTCACATTTCTCCCCCGCCCCCCCACAATGTCACAATTAAATTATCTCGTTAATATTGTCCTGTTCATACTGGGCCTTGCGTTGTGTATTGTACGTTGTATCTCATCTATTCCATTACACTTGTATTGTCATTCAACTAGACAATTATCTGTAAAAAAAAATAGTGTAAAAGCATGTCTATCATAATCAATGCTACTAATGTTCACTTTAAAAAATATAGAATCTGGGTAAAGATGACCCATGTAGCAAAACAAGCATGTATATTTAAGATCTACAATAGAAAGAACACACTTCATCTACGAAATGCACTGGTACAGCAGTCACAGCATCAGTAGCTGAAAGGATTAAACAATAAAATGAAGACACAAATTCTACCACTTTTTCTCAGATGTTCAAGCATAAGCAAGGATCTACGGCCACTCACAATCGCTGTATCCTGGAGACGAGAGACACAAACACGGCCTGCACGTCGGCCAGGGAGGCTGTGCACACTACTGGCTGGTTGTCCTTTTGAAGCAGGGACGACACGTACTGGTGTATGGGAGTAGAGACAGAGAAACTATTACAACAGGATAAGCTGCATATCTGGTTTACCAGAAAAGAACGCAATGTTTTTTTTCCCCCCACCACAAAACAGATACAGTAATTAAAATAGTGTCTATTATTTTAACTATACAATTACAAATGAAGTTTCACATTTGCTTCCAAAATGATCTGGTGTACTTCTAGCCGTTCATTGTTACAACTTTCTATTGGTCCCTTATCATGTTCCTTAAGTATCAGGTTTCATCCTCTTTACGCTTCACTTGAAAGGATGAATAAACAATGGCACAAAAAGGAGACTGTGCTTCCATTAAAACCCAAAGCAAACTTCAAAACAAATACCTTGGGCTTTTCTGCAAGCACACAAATATTCTATTAGGCAACCTAAAGCAAAAAAGGTCATTTATTTTAATCTTGAAAAAATATATATAACAAGAAGCAATGGCTACACCGGACTCAGTGTTTACTGTATAGACTGGATTGGATGTATGTCGAATGTGTAATCGGGACCAGAAAGGAAAATCACTGGTTACCTGTCCCTGCCAGTCAGCCGTGTTAATGAGCATCACACTCTCTGGTAGCTGGTCTTCCGTACCAAGGATTCGGTTTAGTTGCTCATATACCGACCGCTGGGGGGTCTGTCAACAGAGCATTACAAACCACCTCGAATCAAATATTGCACACAGCTTTAACTTCTAAGCCTTGTCGATTTGATCCACAAAACCCACAATTACATGGACTGCGGTATTGTACCAAGTTAGAATCAGAATCTTTATTTACACTGTAGGAATCCGATAAACGATAAAGCTCAGAGCTATTTAAGTCTGAAACAGGATTTTTCCACAACCCTGGGTGTCACCCGATGAGGCTGATTTTAATTACTGTCGAAACGTCGTCTTACTCGAATTGTAAATGCTGTAGGTTTACTCTCCAACACATCGGTGTGCTGAACTAGTAACGGAAAGGCATGTTTTGTTTCCGTGACAAACCTTACTATCGACTGTGCCAGGTGTTTGCGGGTTTAACAACAAATTTATATTTACACGATCTAACCCAAAAAAACACCCTCTATTATGGATAATATTGCTCACAAAAGCCTACATGTTAAACAGAGTTATAAAGCTCTTTTTCACAAAATGTCCAGAAGTTACATAAAGCATCAATGCCACTAAAATCCTCCGTGATCAAATTACGTTCTTGGTGTAACAAGTGGAGAGTCTGGGCTCAATCATGAATGAAAGCACAACAAAAATCATAATATCCATTTTTGCATGGAATTCATAAAATTCCAACTGAGAACTACACGATTAGTTTGTCATTAAATGCATAAATGCACACCATTCATGGATGACGCACTCACATCTTGAAGGATGGTCAAACAACCCCCCCCCATGACAAACACAGCATGGAAAGGCTTTTAAAGTCAGTAGCCTCATGAGAAAAGGCTGATAAACAAAAGCCAATAATTCGTTTTTTAATCCAAGTCAACCAGGTGCCTGCCTGCATGAGTTGGGGGTCGGGGCTCTGATCGTTGTCCAGGCTGCTCGCGCGGACACTTTGCAGCCGAGAGCTTGATCGTTCCCGCAATGACGAGCTCCGTCCCTTGCGCAGCGACGCCCTCACCTCCACTCTACTGCACAGAATCCAGAGAGAAGCTGTGTGAGTGAAATGTGCTGGCATGCATAGACTGCAGGTGGAAATCAACTTCATCAGACATTCGGTCATGTTTTATTGGAATCCAATGGCCCTTTGTTTCTCGAGTGGGTTTTAAGGGCACGTCAGTATGGGTGGATACCAGGCTGAATTTCAGCTGGCTCTGTCTGGGTCACCGATACGCGAGATATATATTCCTCACCCAGCTCACTACATCTAGTATACCCTCTCACTGTGGTTGTGGATGCTAGCCATGTGTCATTTACCAGTCTATCAGTGACTCAGAAAATATTTCAATGATTACATCTGTACTATTCATGCACCTGGGAGAAGTGATGATCTGGGACTCGGTGCGGCTCATCTTGCCACGGGGAGGAAGCCTTTCCAGCAGGGCTTCCACTCGACCCGACTCCGAGCCTGGGCTTGTGTCCGTCTCTCTCAGCTCCTGGTCAGGCACAGTGGAGGGAGGACAAAAGCAATTGTCCACAATTCATGCATAACTTGCACAAATGCAATCTAACTTCAAGGGAATAGTTTAATTTAGAATTGTGCTGGTAACAGACTCAAAAGTGAAGATTAACGAATGTCACTGGGCCTCAAAAGTAAATGTGCTTCTTTATCATTAGCTGTAAGTTAAAGCACAAAAAAACTGCATTGGCTATTTTCCTGGAGGCACAGTCCAGCTTAAATGTGATAGAAAATAATGAGCACTGCCTCTGGAAGGCTATATATAAGACAAATGAGTTTTGGGACAAGTGCCCAAAGGTATTAAGTGGTGGATAAAACAAATTGTCCTACTAAATATTCCCATTTTGTACTAGTGAATGCCATAAATCTAAAAGAAAACCAACAATACGCAAAATAAATGTTCAGTTTGTTGATAAAACAACGCTTTTAAGAGGACCCACCTGCGGGCATTCATCTGTGCTTGTGTCGGAGGTGAACCTTTTCCTCTCAAGAACCAACAATTTATCTGGGCTTTCCACCTGCAGCAAGATATGAAAAGCTGCCGTTTATACCAAACATTGATTTTAAAACTCTAAAAAAATTCCACTAAGAGAATTAACAATCTATTGAATATTAGCTTCAAAAGTACTAATGTGAAAAACGGAAGCAAGCAACGAGATAACGTTCATCAAGAATGAAAAGTAATGTCTTCATTTTTATTTTACATTTTATATCCTAGGACGTTTCCCAAGTTCCTTTTCAATTACAACTCTTGTTAACCCATATATATTTATGCACGATGTCCATGTATATCCAGTAGGCATTTAGAGCTGCCCAAGCACAACTGTGGAAAACAAATAATATTTCATTTTTCTCAAGACAATTATGATCAATGTGGGATTGATGTACTTCTTTCCCATATCGACACTACTTTTATCCTTTTATGCTCATTATTAAAATGTTACACCAACAACTATATTGAAATTGAGAGGATGATTCCTAACCTGGCATGCGACTTCCCTGGGCTGGCTCTTCATACTTTTGATGCTGGCAATTTCAGTCTGAGAGCTTGAGTTAGAGACCTCTTGAAAGAATGGCCTGAAAATGGTTAACACATTTGAATGTATTTAATGGTGATATAAAGGATTCACTCCCTGCACAAGTCATTAAATTGTTACAGTTGAAAGTTACACTTTTTCATAATTTTTTGGCAGTACACATATAATCTAGTGGAATGAATCTAAATAACCTATATTGCATAAAAAAATCGCACCTCCGATTAGCACGTTGGCTACGTACGGTGCGACAGAAGTTCATAAAAATGCAAGTAATTCCCTCTTACACACAACTGCATGCAACGAGTGTAAGTATTAATAGTGCACAATGAATGATTACATCTAAAGTATTTAACCAACTGCCAATATGTGGCAGAGGCCACAGTGTTATAAACATTGAAACACTTGAGGCAATACAGATCACCACCTTTTTGAAAACCTGCATTACTTTTGTAGTGGTTTCCACAGGAGGCACACACTTGAACTTGGAGGCAACACGTTTATTCTACAACCCAATAAGGTAACGACATAAACGTACAACAGTTAACTAGACCCCAAAAGGGTAACTACATAACCGGGTCAGGTCAGTAACGTACTGCCTGACCCACGATGCCGAACGTGACGACCGAAGATCGAGGAGACGTAGCATGGCGGGTTGATTCCAGAAGACAGGGGCGATCGCTCTCGGGACCTCCCTTTTATGCTCCCGAGCGTGGCCTCGCTCCGCCTTCGACCAAACCCTCTATTCTGGATCTTACCAGAAGGTTCTTGACCGAGCATCACATGTCCCTCAAGCCACCCTTTGGGCCCCCTCGCTACCCTGTCCCGGTCACGTGCCCTCTCAGGTTCATCCAGACTTTCACATCCCTACTTGCCCTCTCTCTGACCATCACCATAACCCTGCCCTTTAGGGCCCACTTCCATGCCATACCTACTCTGGTGCCAGAGAGAGGCCCAAGACGCACAGTTCCACTAATGTGACAGTAGCTGGCGTTATATGCCATAGTGACTCCATTTACATCACTACACTTTAAAAATTTCCACTTAAACTACATAGTGGAGAGAATACCACCTTCTTATTGTAGGCACATACATAGTTGCCTTATGCGCCACTCACACTTTTATGAAAATCACTTTAGAATTTTGCCAAATCGTTTTAAACTTTTGCCAAAAATCTGATTAAAAAGGAAAAAATCACAAACGTGAATTCTCCTTTTCATTTTCAGTTACACAAGTTCTCTGGAATATCTGTGGATGGATTATCCAAGTTGCGGACCATTTCGATATTTATAACATCATTCGCGGGCCATACAAAATTATCAATTTAAAAATTGGCCTGTTATATTTGGTCAAACATTTAATTAATTCACTCCTAATGTGATGGCTGGAACTGCTTCTCTTTGGCGAGGCGTGTGATGTTAGCTGGTATTGACGATGTTGTTGCTACTCGCAACTGCTTTTCCAGGTTTGCTCCTAGATTTATTGAATTTCGAGTCCTGCCTGCGGTTGCCTTGGCAGGGCCAGACCAAATGATTTTGCGGGCCGTATGAGGCCCGCGGGCCGGACGTTGCCCACCCCTGGCTTAGGGCATCAGTGACTTGAGCCCATGTAAATGCAACATAGCAAGTCAACCGATTACTTTAAGAATCAAGAACAGATGGCACATTCTACTTTTGTACCCCTATTATACATGTCAACTAAAATATGTCTTTAAATAATGCAATTAATGTTTTGCATTATTAATGTTTTCGTTTTATCTGGGATACCCTTCACCTCTCATTACTCTGGGTAATCAAAAGGTGTTCGTACTTTACAAAATGTTTTGTCGTGCTCCTGTTTGTTATTAATACAGTCTGGTGGTAATGTCACCTTATTATTGTGTACATATACATATACAGTTGCCTCTGGGTCATATTCACATGTCCCAAGCCACATTTGTTGCTGCAAATTGATTTTAAAATGTAGATTTTGTTTGTGCGCCGTTTTATATTTATTGTGTAACCATGGTTGTTGCTATGATTATATTTGCTTAATTGCTGTACTTTGTATTTATGTTATTGTTTTTGTCATTTTGGTGACAGGTCACTCTTCCAAATGGAGGCAATCCATGACACGCAAGTCCTCATCTGGTTAAACAAAATAACTTGAAAACTTTACGAAACGGCCAAAACATATCGCCATGGCATTTTGCCCAATTTCTGGTATTTAAATATCAAGATGATTTTGCCAAGAAATCCGATAAAAACGAACACTCATACTTGTTAAATCAGCCTGTGTTTTCAGTGATGGTAGGTTATAGGCGCTTCACTTTGGTCTCACTTGAGCGTTGGTTTTGGTGCACTGACGACGCTCTCATTGTCATCCATATCAGGACCACTGTCACTCGGGTTGTCGAGCTCCAAGCTGTCATAGAGCAAGTTGAGGTCCTCCTCCTCCTCCATCTCACGGGTCTGGTCTCCCGGATCTTGCTCAAGGTCCAGGTTCTACGATGACAATGCATGACCTTCAAACCTATGGCAACATTGGCCCCAATATGTCTACTAGCGGGACGTACCCGGAAAAGGACAATGATGTAATGCTTTCTACACTTTGCACAACAGATATGTAACAATTCATCGATTAAAATCGATTCTTACACTGATACATGGATTAATTGGACATGTACGGTATTATTTTTCATATAATTGAAATATTACGCGCATTTTTATTTTAGGCTAATATCACCAATGAGACAGAATAATAGAGTACACATTAGACAAATCGCGACATTTCATTGAATCAGAGGAGGTTAACCAGTATAATCAAAGTGCAGATCAACCACACCCCTTTTAAATTTTGATTTAAAGCTTTCGTTACTGCAGGGATTCATATTCTTGAAAGAACCAAGAATATACACACGCCCCTTTTGTGTCTATTTCGCCAACAATTTTTTTGAAATGTTTGATCTTGCAATAGTAACGAGTAAGAAAAAAAAACTTGCACCATTTACTTTCCCCAAAGAGAAATAATAAGTCTGCAAATGTTAACAGAAAAAGTAAGCCGTTATATACCACCGCATTAAAAACACACACACCTGTGGTACATTATGAGAATTATTTGCATTCTACATCACTAACTTACCTCATCCATCACACGGAATCGCTTGAGTAGTGCCACCACTTTTTGTTTCAGGTTCGGTTGCTGCAAGTCAAGCGAGTACACGTGCTGATCAGATTAAATGCACTCCTGAAACCAGAATGTCTTAAAAAGTGAACATCTTTCAGATTAAATTGTACTAAAGTAAAAAAAAATGTTGCCACACTTGTATCCAAGGGGTTTCAAGACCCTATGTCCCAAACTTATTTTTTTAAAACATAAGGTGGACTTTGACGTCATTTTTGCTCATTTGTAAAGCTTAAAAATGGCATGTCAAAGCATGGTTGGCAATGAATTAGGTTGTCATTTTAAGACGACAGCTGGTGTCATGTATATTAAGTTTTGTGGAACCATTAATTGAATACATCCCAGTTTAACATAGCCATAACAGTGAAGTGCTTAAAATGTATGGTTGGACACACTAGAATTTGATGGGACAGGAGGAATGCCAGAACCTCCCTGGCGTCTGTAACACAAGTAGATTGCTAAACATGTATGTCAGCAAGCAAAGCAATATTCAGCCTCAGCTTGGAAATCAAAGCAATGGACATTTGCCAGAAACTAATTGTACTCAGCTGATCGTGTGCACTTTTACATCATGTTTCACAATGCATCCTTCTGTACAACAGTTATAGGGCATACAATCACTGCTTAATCCTTTGTGAAAATCCAAGTAAATTATAAACGATCACTTTGCACAAAATCAGTGCTTGTGCAAAAGGACTTCGGTACATCGAAGATTAACAGCCATAATTATAATAGCCATTCCAAAGATTTGATTTGTAGAGCCCCAAAATAAAACTGCAAAATAAAGTTAAAAACGGTTTTCCACAATACATGGCACATACTTTGTTTCAAATTCCATGAATTGACAACCATATTTTCAAAGGCAGCACATCAAATCTATAACAATGTGTTTGAAGTTGATCTGATCAGTCTGCTGTGGCCTTGAAAAGTAACAGGTAAGCACATTCCTGTAATAAAGCATTGTGGAGGTTAGAGTCTGTGCATGGTGTACATGTGTACTTCCAAAACCTCCTGAGGTTGCGAGATTGTCAAGATATAGCACTGCAGGAAGCAGTTTCATCAAATAATTTATGCAAACCTTTTCATTTTACCCTCTTATATGTGGGATTGTCTTTGCATTTAAATTTTCTTCCAAAGACAACACGTAAAAAAAATAGCCAACAACTCAATGCAGGTCACTCCTGAAAAAAAACACAAGAGCACCGAGACTGAGGCTTTCCTGAAAAAAATACATGTTAATTGTTATTTTTTTTTAAACCACAAGGATTCAAATACCAACCCGGCTGAGGGATATCGCTCTGGATACTTTTCTGTGCCTCGATTTCTTTGACTTGCCCGAGAGGTTGTAATCATCGTACATGTCCTGCGCAGCCCAACGGGAGCAGAAGTAAAAATAAAAGCGCAGCATGCGTTACATGGCGCGCATGCATTATTGCATACTTAAAATTAGAAGGCAAAAACAGATGCCACCTCCATGACTTCAAGTTTATAATTACCCAACTAGGCAAATCAAACAAGCTTGCCTTAATGATGCAGTGAGATAGTTTGTGCCCTAATTGTAGCTTACACGCACACTTCAATGATAACTTGCACTGGCATTTCTGCTACAACTCGATACTCTATCTTGTGCTCTAAGCTTCATAGATGTAAACAGGTGGTGTAATCAAATACAGCACACAAGCTTAATAAACACTTGTCAAATCGAGCATCATTACATAATGCAGATGGATCCGTTCCCACCTGTACATGTTCATCGCTTGCATCCTGTTCAGAGGAAAAGCTCTCATCATCATCCTCCGAGTAGTTATCTGCATCTGCAGAGCGATCTGAGATACAAATCAGAAAGTTGTAATCAGGTTTCGAACTAAAATATGTAATCATATATAAGTCATATCAAGCACAGAACAGTGTATGTGGAATAAGGGCACCAGTGTGTGAATATTTCTTGTATGAAATAAAACTTTAAAGTGGAAATTTTCCAGAGTAATGTTTATTTATGGAAAGAAAATGTTGCACAAGGTTTCGAACAATTGAGATACATAACTATAGTATAACGAAGATTGTGGACATGTATTACAATTCAATTACCAAGCCGAAAACTAATTTGTTAATGGATTTTAAATCGCTACGTTGTTGTACAACAGATGCACGTGGATACACAAACTTTCAGTCTTGGTCACAAAAAGGAAATTGCAAAAGTTCTGCTTTAAAATGCAAAAAAAAAACCACCCACAGCATGTGACCAACTGCTACACAACACAGAGCAGTGCATAGGCACTTTTCAAATATTGTAAATCTTCATGCACTCATAGCTTACAAGAAATGTAATTCCATATTGTAAAGCAAGAGGCATACCTAGAGCCTTGCTCTTGCGGTCACCAGGCCCCACTGCCTCCTCTTGGTCTACAGGCTGGCTTGACAGGGAGAAGATGCAGATCTCTGCCGAGCGCCCAGCTGTTGACTCCTTTATGTTGCCATGAAGTCCCAGAACCATTCCACCATCCGTTGGGTGCTGCATCACCTTCAATTCAGAATTGCTTTTGGTTTACGGTCTCTATGAAAAATGTATTATTTTAGGGCGGTTTCACACATTTAGGTACTTTCTCATGTCCCCTGCTGAAGTAATTTGGACCAGGCCTCGACAGAATATAATATTGCGATAACACTTTCATAGCAGAATAATGCAAAAAGGATTTTAAAGTATTTACTTCTTGTACTGTTATTATTTATTTTCACTTGTACATCTTTGAAGCAAATACAAATAATTTCACCACAGGCACCACAGTAACTGTATGTTTACGTTACCAGAGATTCAGATGCACGTTCAGCTTGTGTACTCATTAATGTCTGCCCAAAGCAACCGGACTTCTAATAATTACCCAGGCATGTACGTCCAAGACAAAGATTAATGGCAGCCAGACGTGGTGCTGCCAACCACATCGTGTTGAGCCAAAACAGAATTGCTCCATGTGAACACTTGCCAATATGGCCCTAAAGGACGCTCATTGTAGGGGATGTTCAAATTTCCTACTAATTGCCAGTTAGTAGCAATATTTGGTACGCAATTGTTACAATCTACTTTCATTGAATTCTACATCAACAACATCAAATTATCGATCCTGCTCAGATATTTACATGAACATTGAATTTTGATTTAAAGCTTTCGTGACTGCAGGGATTCATATTCTTGGTTCTTTCGGTAAAGTCACGTATAAGGGACACAATAAAATAAAAAATATATTGTTTTATTTTATTATTTTATTGTTTCCCTTATACGTGATTTTACCGAAAGAACCAAGAATATGAACATTTATATTTGTTTTTGCAAATCCATTATGATTGCAGAGTAAAAATTACAAAACACACATATATTTAACAAAGAACCATGAGGCAGAAAAGCACATTCAATGCGAGAATTAATCTAGGTAAGCAATAAATCATCTAACAAGCACAGGTATCAATATTTTACCAGGCTGTTACAGATATTTTTAAAGTAAAAAAAGATGAATTACATGTCCTCCAAGGAGGTACTGTATGCATAAGATACTCTTCGTAAAATGACAGGCCAATATATCAAATGATAAGCTATATAATAGATTTGAGCAGACATACTTAATGCAACCGTGCAGCTGGTAGAATAGTCATGTGGGTCCCCGAGTTTACATTAGCCAAAGGCATTTTAATCTTAAAACCAGCAGGAAACAAAATGATGCAGACTGATGCAGATGTCAGGCCACCCGTTAAGATTAATGAGTAAAACAAAGTCGCCCTGGAATGACCTTCGGAGATAATCCTTAAATTAGAACTCTTGAAAGAAGATCGTGTCTCATGACCGACCTCAGGTGCCCTTTAAGGCAGTAATGAGTTGATGCTCAAGTTTATGTAGACATGAGAACATTAGATTTTCTTACTTGACTAACATTAAGGAACAACCATTGAAATGTACTATGAAAGTAAACAAACAAAAAAAACGAGACATGGCATGAAATGTTTAATAATGCTTCTCAGTTAACCTCAGTCATGTTGATGAAGCCAGCTGCAAGCGTCTTGTAGCCCAAGAAGGTTCGGTTTTTGTATCGCTTTCTCCTCTGCAGCATGATCTGAAGCTTGTTGCTCTCCCGCTTTAGAAAATGTGGATACTGCATCAAAAACACCACATATCCATTGCCACGTTCACAGCGAGAAGCCTGTACAACTGCCAAGTTTACAAACAATAAAACAGTAATTGAACTGCTGTTTGAAAAGTAGATATTTTTTTTTCCCCACTTGTGTATTTGAAGATACACTTTTTTTTAAAATTGACCAACTTTGGTTTATATATTGACTATAAATATTGCAACAAACAACTAGCAGAAAGCCGAGGCTATCACAGAAGGTAATCAAATAGCACCTGTAAAGAGAAGGTGAGCTCCAGGTCAGCTTCGATGAGGCCACTCGGAGGTAAAGGGATTTCATTTGACCTCAGGATGCGTTTGGATCCCTGAATCATAAACAAGGCGGAACATTATATCATCCATAATTTGCAATTAATTATTTTAACAATTTAGAATTGTTCGTTTTTGACATTAATATAAAAAACGCATTTACCTGTAACTTGACAGCAATTACCACAGAGTTTAACTCCTTATCCAAATCCTTCAGAACCATCAATTTCTTCAGAGTCATGCTGAACAACCTGACGGGGATTGGGAAAGAAGAGTGGAAGAAGAAAAATATATTGAACGTTTTAATGTGTTTTTATTTTATTTTATTAACAGTAGAAAATATGATTGCATTGCCAACAATAAAAATATATAATTTTAGATACAAAGCTTTTTCTGCTTACTGGAATACTATTAATGTGTCCGGCAAACTTAAAAAAGGCATTCATCACTTTCAGAAAAATATTTCCTGTCCAGCACCCAAAGGATCCTCTTTCTCTATAGAAGTAACAGTACATTTGTTTTTTGCAGGAAAACAATCTGGGACCAACTAAACTTCACATCCCAGTTTGTGCTTTGGAAACTATACCCAGGAAGTAAGTGCCAGAAAAAAATAGCACACATGAATCAAGACAGTATAAAGATAAGTGTTAATAAGACTTATTGCTAAAAATAATGATATAACGTTTCTCATTCAATGATAAAAGAAAACTTATACATACAAAGTGAGAAAAATGTTACAATTCTTTGCATCCTTATGCTTCAGCGTCATATATGATGCAAACATTAACATGCAACATTGCAATTACTTCATTTTGCTTAACACAATAAAGAACTGATCTTAACCCATTATTCATATGTAAATGTAGAAGGTGATGTCTCCCAGCCCTAAAGTTAACAAGCGGTGGCTTGTTTTCCATTAATGTCAGTGATGCCCAGCTTTGCAGACTACAATGCTGCATGCCAAGCACGCTCACACCTACACAGCCACTTGACAGTAAGCAGACTATTTACGAGGGAGTCTCAACACAGAAGGGTTTGTCTTCGTTTTGGAACATCTTTGCTGTTAAGTATCCCTTAACAAAGCTGATCATGACTGAAGCACAATGGGCAAACGGTTGTAAACAGGATATTTTTTGCATGTCTACAGCTTTCAATTACGCTGTTGGGAATGTACAAGTGCAACATAAAATAACTCGGTACAATTAATGAATAAATATTTAGACAGAATTTACAGTAAATAACCCATTAAATAAATACTGAGATTTTTTGAAAGTTGGTGAATTTTAAATGTGGTGTGTGGAATGCTCCAGTACTGTACATTTGAAGGTTAAAGAACATGTTTTAAAGGCTATGCATATTTATTAGGGAACAGCAATAATACTAAGCGTAATTAAAGATGCACCTTGAGGCAGAATAAGGTAAATCTAGTACGAGTCTCATTACACGAGGGAACACCAAATTAAATATTCATAAGTAATGAATTACTGAAATTGACAGAATATTTAAAACTGCTTTTTTTAAATGTCAGTGTAACGAACACAATATTGTTTAACTGTGCGTAAAAATTATACATCTGATTTTTTTCTCAGTCATTGAAGAATGCAATGCAATGCAGTTACCAAGTGAACGGTTTAGTGAGATTATCCCGATTCAGCGAGACGCTAAAGCCCACCTACAGATACATATCTATTGACATTCTTCTTGCCAGAAAGACAGACCACATGAGGACAAGTGAAGATGGGTATTTTAGCCATGAAAAGCAGCAAAAGATGAGAAAAATGTTGTTACAATTAGTAAAAAAAGACACTTATGTTTTAAACACTATTTAACACAAACACATAAATGTCACAATTCAGTGGTGTGCAAATAAGGAATAAAGGTTTAAAGGCCAGTTTTTTGCAAAATGTTCCTAATCAATAGCACAGTACCACCAATTTCGCTGAGCATTGTTCACCAATCTTGGCAAAACAGAAACGCAGCACAAAAACTAATTCATATACACATTATAAAACGGAACCAAATTATGGTTCTGAAGTAAACCTTGGTGTGCAAACGCATTTCCCACCCGTTTATATTTTTGTCCTACCCTGCAGACTCAAGAAGCCATTTGTTCTCAGTGTTATAGATTGACAGCAGATTTAAAAGGGTGTGAGCTGAATACATAAACACCGACTGGCAGCGTTCTCACTGAATTTAAAATTACAAACCTTGCAGCTTCGCAACAATATTTGTGGCTTATTTTTTTACCAACAGATAATCTAAGTACAATAAAACATGTGAACGCCTCTAAGAACTGTGGAAAAAACAGGGAATTCATGAGCACTTAATTTGTATTACTTTTGTGGGTTAATTTTTAACCCAAGGCAGTGAAGTCAAGACTACACCAACAAAAAATGTTCAAAGAAAGGCTCGAGGTTCTGGCTTCCTCATGCGGTTATGGGCAATAGTTTTGAAACTGACAAAGGCATTCCTTGGGGCATTTGCAGAATGGTAGTCAATGCAACTGTACTTGAGCTGCAACAGAAGTTATGCTTCTGTGGCACATATTACATCCATCAGAACAGGTACGAAAGCGCACCTATTACACAAAAATCTCCAAATGTTACAGTATCAAAGTACGTAGTCTACAAAAAAAATGTACAAACTATTTTATACTATCAAACAATAATCATTAATATACTGCACTCATTCTATATTAACTACATACAAATTAGCTCCATATATTAATAACAGATTTTTCAGTCTTGTTCCATGTGTCAAGATTGGTCAATTGAAAATAACATGTGCACATTAAAACAGCGAGGAAAAAAGGTATTTGATCCCCTGCTGATTTTGTACGTTTGCCCACTGACAAAGAAATGATCAGTCTATAATTTTAATGGTAGGTTTATTTGAACAGTGAGAGAAAGAAAAACTAAAAAATCCAGATAAAACGCATGTCAAAAATGTTATAAATTAATTTGCATTTTAATGAGGGAAATAAGTATTTGACCCCTCTGCAAAACATGACTTAGTACTTGGTGGCAAAACCCTTGTTGGCAATCACAGAGGTCAGACGTTTCTTGTAGTTGGCTACCAGGTTTGCACACATCTCAGGAGGGATTTTGTCCCACTCCTCTTTGCAGATCTTCTCCAAGTCATTACGGTTTCGAGGCTGACGTTTGGCAACTCGAACCTTCAGCTCCCTCCACAGATTTTTCTATGGGATTAAGATCTGGAGACTGGCTAGGCCACTCCAGGACCTTAATGTGCATCTTCTTGAGCCACTCCTTTGTTGCCTTGGCCGTGTGTTTTGGGTCATTGTCATACTGGAATAGCCATCCACGACCCATTTTCAATGCCATGGCTGAGGGAAGGAGGTTCTCACCCAAGATTTGATGGTACATGGCCCCGTCCATCGTCCCTTTTGATGCGGTGAAGTTGTCCTGTCCCCTTAGCAGAAAAACACCCCCAAAGCATAATGTTTCCACCTCCATGTTTGACGGTGGGGATGGTGTTATTGGGGTCATAGGCAGCATTCCTCTTCTTCCAAACACGGCGAGTTGAGTTGATGCCAAAGAGCTCCATTTTGGTTTCATCTGACCACAACATTTTCACCCAGTTGTCCTCTAAATCAGATGTTCATTGGCAAACTTCAGACGGGCATGTATATGTGCTTTCTTGAGCAGGGGGACCTTGCGGGCGTTGCAGGATTTCAGTCCTTCACGGCGTAGTGTGTTACCAATTGTTTTCTTGGTGACTAGCGTCCCAGCTGCCTTGAGATCATTGACAAGATCCTCCCGTGTAGTTCTGGGCTGATTCCTCACCGTTCTCATGATCATTGCAACTCCACGAGGTGAGATCTTGCATGGAGCCCCAGGCCGAGGGAGATTGACAGTTCTTTTGTGTTTCTTCCATTTGCGAATAATCGCACCAACTGTTGTCATCTTCTCACCAAGCTGCTTGGCAATGGTCTTGTAGCCCATTCCAGCCTTGTGTAGGTCTACAATCTTGTCCCTGACATCCTTGGAGAGCTCTTTGGTCTTGGCCATGATGGAGAGTTTGGAATCTGATTGATTCTGTGGACAGGTGTCTTTTATACAGGTAACAAGCTGAGATTAGGAGCACTCCCTTTAAGAGTGTGCTCCTAATCTCAGCTCGTTACCTGTATAAGAGACACCTGGGAGCCAGAAATCTTTCTGATTGAGAGGGGGTCAAATACTTATTTCCCTCATTAAAATGCAAATCAATTTATAACATTTTTGACATGTGTTGTTCTGGATTTTTTGTTGTTGTTATTCTGTCTCTCACTGTTCAAATAAACCTACCATTAAAATTATAGACTGATCATTTTTTTTGTCAGTGGGCAAACGTACAAAATCAGCAGGGGATCAAATACTTTTTCCCCCCTCACTGTAGATTGTACCACTAACAGCACTGAAAACATGCAAGATGCTGTTCTAAAAAGATACGGCAAAGTTTCTTAAACTGTGAATTATGATCCCCAAGGGGTACCAAATGGTACTCTACTGGCACTGTTTCAACAAAAACAAAGTAAAGCAAAAATTGGTATGTACATAATTATAAGCTAAATCAGAAACTCAAAAAGTAAATGTCTTAAAACAAATTGTATATCTTTTACCTTCAGCATAACCATCACCGCCAACACAGAATGTTCAATAACTATTGATAGTCCATCAAGGACAAACTAGCAAACAGCTTCCAATCGTCATCAAGAGAAAATCTGGTCTAAGCAGGACCTCAGCAGGATAAGCTGAACTGAGACAGCAAAACATTGGGGTCATGTCAGAATTACCTTTGAAAATCTGTTCAAGCATTTCATTACGCTGAAACCACATAATCTTAGTCATCATCCTGTGCAGTGGTGCCACTGTAGGTTCAAGATGGGGTACAAGGCTGAGTAACTTCCCCCTTTACCTTATGCACCCAAACCACTGTGAACATTCAGTGTCATCAACATGAACTGTCATTGAATAATAACCACATCCTAATAAAACAGATTTTCCATGTTGGATGCATGGCAAATAAACCCCAGAACTTGCAATTGTTAGCATGGCAAACAGATTTGGGTTTTTTCTAAATTTGTTGGACTTTTTGAAGATCTAGTCTGCACAATTCAGCTTTAATTAGTTATAAAATCAGTATAAACTGCATTAGTCTGCTAACAGCAATGAAAGCCAAATTAAGCCTATTGTTCCATGAAACAGAAAGCCTGTACACTAAAAAAATAAACTAATCAATGCACTCTGCATATATAACAAAAACATTATGCAACAGCTGTACAATTCATTTAATTGTTCATAATGGTGCTTCATCATCTTTGAAAAACATACCAACACGAACACAAAATCAAATAAAATCACTCCATGCCAAAACCAATATGGTTTAATTTGTAATGCAAGAGTAAAGTCTAAATTTTGCAAGTTCATACCTGTGAAAGCACAATTTTACATCAAAAAGACTGCATGTGTTAATTATGTACTAATCTTCCAGTACATATAACAAAGTTAAAAGACATTGGGGTTGTTTTCCTCACTCTACAGATTTATTATTCTATTCCACATGTATTGACAATCATAGACATGCGTTTTGGTCAGAACAAGCCCTTAAAAACCAAAACTGAAACTGCACAATAATGTACAGCTCTAAATTAAAAATGTAGAGTTTTCAATAACAATAAAAAATAAGCAAGTTATTTTCCACGATGTTTGTCACTTCATTTGAAAGGACACCTTTTGGGAGCATGCATTTTTTTAAACTAAACATGTAAACAGAACATTAAAGAAATTCCCAACAAAATTCCGTTTCAAATAGTAGAAATAAATTCACAAACTATGCCAAAAATATCTGCTAACAAAAATTGTTACAGAAACCCATAAGCAACTATTATTTGAGGAAACTCAGAAAACCACGCGCGCACCACAGATTTAATCAAATTTTCCCCCAACTTGTCACATTTTTATGCAATTCCAAATAAAAAAAAATCACAATATAAAATGTACTTCAAAATCACCATTGTAAATAAAAGCTACTTTGAAAAAAACCTTAAAACCATGAGCAAATGCACGTTTTATGTATTTGTTTACCATTCAAATGCCACAATTCAGCCAGATGTTTTCCATCTCCACCACAGGGATTGTTAAAAAAAAGGACTTAAAAAAGGCAGCGCTAAACACGAGCCCTTGACAGCCGAGAGGAATGTGGAATGCAGTACAGTAATTTCGAGCTTCCTGCAATGCAGCAAGCTAGCTCTAGCTACAGGGTGGGTGAGCACATCAGAGGACCAGAAGGGCAGAAGAGGTGCTGGCATGTCACATTGAAAATAGAACGCATGCAAGAGCTAGGTGGCATTCCGAATATTGCCCCCCCCTCCCCCCCATTTCGGTGTCCAATTATAGTTGGAATGTCGACAGAACGTCACAGGATAAACTTGCAGTGCCAAATTAAATAGCACCCCAGCTCAGGAAATGTAAACATGTTAGCAAGGCCGCGATGTCACCGCCAGTGGTAGAAACGACACACATGGCAGTTTCTGAAACACACGTTATGAATGCATGCGTAACCACATGGGAATTCATTTTAAACAGCGCTACGGACTGCAATAATTTGCATTACTATAAGATGGGCACCACATTGGCCTCGATGAAAATAGGATATACATTTCAACAGGGTAGCGGAAGACACCTCAAGGATTAGTTTACATTCTAGACAAAATGCTAATTTCTCGCAAGAGCAACGTACAAGGTCGCAGCACTTTAAGAATACAGACGGTTTATAGCATCAACACATTGACAACTTGGTATGCAAAGCAGCTGGAGGGAGGGCGACCAGACGGGAACATATAATGTAAACAAAAACTTTGCTCTCTTTCACCAATGAGTTTTCAGGATGGTGGCAAGTGTTAAACTATGCCTTTAAAACTTCAAACTACGTACCTGCAGTACCTATATTTAAATACATGTTACTAGACAGAGTAGTGGGTCGCCGCTCCTCTTATCTGCATCGATACGAGCGGTATGTGGGGACTATGGCTTAGCCGCAAAAAACCCCTTATCTGCACAGATGCATACGGACAAGAGAAATATTATCAAATAGGAGGAATTAACGGTGCAACGAATCTCATCTGTTAAATATCTGCAGGTAATAAGATTGTCATCGATCGATCCTGGCTGCAGACATTGGTAGGTCACAAATAACAATGAATATAAGGGAGCAGTTTCACTGTATTATGCATACCGTGATGACAAAGGACTTAAGTCGTGTGGGCAGTTTGAGCAGCTTTGGATAAGTGTTGAACCAAAAGCTCACCATTGCTGTCAATATCAGTCATTTTATTTTCAGTACGCCTCATTAAACTAAAAAGCTCTTTCCTGGATATACCGAGGACACTCAACTAGAAGTTCGGTTATAGTTTATATACCCAAGGGGTTACAATGGAGATACATACACATAAGCTCTTATTGTTCAGCCAGAAGAGAAGCCCTTGGGACGAAATAAATTTTGAAAGGGAGACTTGAATACCAAATGAAGCCAAAAACAAAAGCGCCAATATTCTAGACAATGTATGTGCCCTGGACCGTCTCACACATGTTTAAAGCTTCTGTAATGAGTAATTAAAGGCTTTAAATTGACATCCATGCAGCGCCACTCAAGTGATGACACTAGGGAAAACGTGAATGTCACTTTTTTTTATTCTAATTACCGAGCCTCAAAACTCGTACAGCATTTGAAGGACAGCTCCAAGGCACAGTTGAGCTATCGATGCTATCTGACAGTCTGGGTAATACCGTAGTACAGTCATGCAATGCTACTTACATCCCTTTTGCTTTCATTGATAGAAAAATGCCTCCGCATGCTATGCCTGTGGTGGGGATTGTTTCAAACATCACCAAGTTGGTGGGGTATCGGGGGGGGGGGGAAAGAGTTGTCCTGGATTGGGAAAAGCTAAATAACTTCATAGCTCATCGGATTCCTCCGAGTCTAAATACAAGATTCTGATTATGGTTCAGATATGATTGTTGTTTGCAATTTCCCTGTTACAGGACGCCAATTGCGTACCGTATGTCCACCAATGCCAAAATGCCAGACAACTCGTTAATTACACATTGCCAGATATAGGAAGGGCCTTGGTAATGAGCCACTCCGGACCAAACGGCTGCACGTTTCGATTGTAACAATTCGGCAAGAAAAAAAACCCCACAGCACTTTGCAATCCTGTCAAATGTTATGTACGTGCAGGAGTGGTGCATGCAGTTGCCTTCATATTGATCTTAACAGGTTTGACATTTTGACTCGGGCGCAATTGCCTTTAAATACGTCGATAGTGATTGCGTCTCGTGTATAGATCGATCACAAACCGGGGACCCGGTGCACACAGGCCGGTCATGAGGGGACACGTTTTTTTTATCACCGGCGTGAGGGTTCACCGCTTCCTTGAAAAATAACAATGTCAGCAAATACTTTACTTTAATCTGTGTGCAAATCGTCATACCTCAAATCGACACAAGTACTGTATCGTTTTAAAAAAGCCACAAAAAAACATATTTAAAGACCGCGTTATCTAACCGAATTGACTCCTGCCTTCAACCACCCTTGCATCCCAAACTTCCACTAAATTGCACGCAATCCCAGAACCAACGCAATCTCACACACACTACGGTGTGTTTCATTGGTTTTGTTTTGCTACCTCAGCTTTCAAACTATAACCCCCCACCACCACCCACCGCCCTCCCCAATTCGCACGGCACCTATGATCATGTACGACGTTACAACGCACCGACACGCCGCTCGCCGCAACTTTTAATTAAAAACAAAACTTGCCCCTCCTTAACAACGACATAAATGAAAATGTGATGAGGGGGGGGGGTGCGGGAGGGCGAGTGGTTGTAGAGGGGAAAGATCGACCAACGACTTGCCCGCCCCATCACCTCGGCACGCAGCTGGGCGATGCCTTGTCCACCTCCCAGGTGGCGAACAGGTTCATGGTGACGGGCGGTCTGACGACGGGCGGCGCGGCCATGGCGCCTCCTCGCTCCAACACCGCCGCAGCCGCCGTGAACGTTCGCCCGTCTGGCGCTCTCCGGTTTCTTTTGGTTGTTGCTGTTGTCTTTGTCGTTGTTCCCGCCAACGCTCCCGAGGCGCACGCGAACCGCCCCGTTCGCCAACGAGGGTCGTGTTGTTTTGTTGTTGTTGTTGTTGCCGGGCTTTGCTCTCAGGGTGCTCAACGCGGAGCACGCGGACGGGGGGGGGTTGCTCGCCTCGCTCCTTCCCGCCCAACGCCGCCGATGCCGCTGCCTCCTCCTCCTCGTTCTCACGACTCCTGCTCGGCAGCTGCGCGAGCCACCGATGGAGACCGCCTCCCCCCTGCTCCCTCTATATATAGGGCGGAGGGTTGGCGACCTTTGGAAAACGCAGTCCGCATGCGTGACCGGGGTTGCAATTTCGCAGTTCGCATGCGCGAGGGCTGCGTTGCGTTCGCGTCGCCGTTTTAACGCGCGCGCCGAGCGAGACGCAAATCGTAGTTGAGATAGGCGCGTTGTAAATTGCAGTTCGCATTCGCACGAAGGGTTGGAATTCGCAGTTCGCATGTGGCTCGCCGAGAGTTTTTAAATCGCAGTTCAGATTCACGGTGGTTGTAAAGCGTAGTTCGAATGTGCAAGGGAAGTTGTAAAACGTAGTTAACATGCGAATATAGCGTTGTAAATCGTAGTTTAGATGCGCAAGTACATTTGCAATTCATAGTTGACGATCGAACAGTTGAAATGTGTTGCTCACATACGCGAAATGATTGTAAATCGTAGTTCACTTACGCAAAAAGAGTTTGTAAATCGTAGTCTGTGTGCACGACGCGAGTTGTAAATCGTAGTTCGCTTGCGCAGCGTGAAATATGCAACGGTAAAATGTTTCTTAATGCGGTCGTTTAACTTCAGTTCCTTTTCTACATGTAACCCACTGTACTGTACTTGTGTGCCTCCGCGTATATACTCCTCCCCTTCAACCCGCGCTGACCAGCGTGGCGAAGTATGGTTCAAGTCACCCCCACCGTGGTTGTGGTTGTTTGACTTTGCATCCCACTGGGATTTTTTGCACACAGCCTTGGTGGTGTACGGTGCTTTTTTCAGGAATATTTTGCTGTTTTTTTTTGTTCATGGATTTTCTGTTTGCACAGTCACATAGTCACTTTAAGATGTTTTTCTTGTTCGTGTTTTTGTTTGTTGTGGTTGCACCCGATTCAAGAGCCGAATGGCTCACAGGGCTATACCAAAATAAATAAAACTAAAACGGTGTGTGGAGACCCTTCATCCAGCAGTGGATTGGCAAGGCAAATTGTCCTTAACCCCGTCCTGTACTTAAATTAAACTTGCGTCAATTACTTTCAAAGGGACATCTGGAATAGACTACGTTACAAGAGCACACGCCTGCAAAATAATCACACAAAAAAACAATAAAAGGACAATATTACTGTGATACGTTTTATGATTTACTGTACGACACTTATTGACTTTACTTCAACGTGGAAATGTCAATATATATTCATATGCATATATATTTTAAAAAATTACGTTTAATGCACAGTACAACCCTATTGTCAATCCACTGCTGGATGAAGGCCTCCCTCGCCACGCCGTGTGGGTCCATTGGGGGGCGATGGTTGACCATACTTCACCACGTTGGTCAATGTAGCCGTCAACCCATACGGTTTACCCCTTATTCTTGTACAGGGAAATAAGAGTGTTCAGGTCCATAGGGGCCGTCCATAAATGACGTCACGCGATTTTGGACGATTTTTGACCCCCTCATCGTCACACGGCGTCACAAAAAGTCAGCCCCCCCCTCAAATATGACGTCACAAAGCTCTACCCCCCCCCCCCAAAGAATATAAAACATGTTTCAAATCGCTTTAAACTATTGTCATTGTAGTGCGTATTTAATGTGCCGCTGCACTGATGTAGGAGAAAACATTTATTAGAAAGTATATTAAATTAGGTAGAACGTGTTGTCTATATTTATTTAAAGTTGCGCATTTTGATGTCACGTCACATTTCTCAACCCCCCACCCCATCGTCACACATCGCCACAATTGTCTGACCCCCCCCCCCCACCAGGTGCGTGACGTCATTTATGGACGGCCCCATACGGAGTTATACAGCCGTTTTAATACGGGCAAAAAAAAAACGTGTTTTGTGTGTTCGTGTTTCTCCATTGTGATGTGGCTCTGTAGGCTGAACGTTGAGATTTATATGGGCACGGGGTGACCGAAGAGGTCTGAATTGGATCTGTAATAAGGTAGTGGAGGGCACTGATAAATGGCTGGCTGATAGGGTTTGCAGTAGCCATAGGATTTCTACCCCCCACCCCTCCCCACCCCGTATATAATCGCCGCTGATGTTGGCCGTGGCAATGGAACTCAAATGATTTGGCTCATAGCGCAGTGCGCGAACCACTGCGGTTACTCGCGCTCATCCCACCCCACCCACCCACCACAAGAAATCAATGAAGGCAGCAGCAGCAGCAACAAAAAAAACGAATACAGTACGGAATCTAATCGCGTTTGCCATTAGGGGTGAAATGACGGGGCAATTTATAAGGGGGTGTGGGGTAGGGGGGTCAACAACTGGAGAACGGCGAAAGTGAAGCGTTAACGCGAATCACGTCATCTGTGTGTGGGGGGGGGTGGGGGTGGGAATGACAGCGAAAGTCATTCAAAGTGACTCTTCCGTGGGATTAGGTCGGATAACGTTGCTGGAATATATACATAGCGTGCGGTCGAGACTAGCCCAGCTAAATAGTGAATTGTCGTTGCATTGGCAAGGCAGTGAGAGTTGTCGACGGACTGTACGGAGGTCCTCATCCAGCAGTGGATAATCATATGTCCGGTGACGACGACGATGGAGAGACACGGGGTAACCTCATCACAGAAGCCGACCAATTTCACCAAATCAACGAGCAATGAGCAACCACGGACGACGTGGTTACTGCAAAACAAACGATGACACCCCGGGAATGATGTATCGATCAGATGCAATAATAACCACGAATCGATTGGAGAATCAATAGTATATTGTTGTTGCTTTGTCTTTGTGGTGCATGCGAGAATCTAGAGTGGCCGTTACTTTCATATCACCAATTGTATATACACACACTATTTAACATTCAGAGGGTATCGACTTATTTAACGTGCAATTCGATACACGTTTCATGAGTCGTGTTAATCGAGAGCTTTTGTTAAATCGCGTTATTCTCTCCGTTAAAAAACAAAGAGCAAAACTCGGAAACATTAAAGAGGCAATTCAAACTTGTGCCAAAGGGGTGTCGACAAGCCGTAGCACGAGACGCATCCCCCCCCCCGACCCCGCGATTGATTTATGTAAAATAACGGTGCAAAAACAAGTTCGATCTTAATATAAATCGGATAAACAATGCCCTGGAACGCCTCCTAATTAGCCAACCCCGGAAGCGGAAGCGGCATCGCGGAGTGGTGGTGGGTCGTGACCCACGTGGCGACGCTTATAAACAAACACGTGGGCGATGATGGGGGTGGGGGGCAGCAGCAGCATCAGCAGCAGACGACGCAGCACCACCACCACTACCAGCATGTGTCCACGTGCCCGGAGAGAAACGGTTAATTACTAAAAAATAATTAATTTTTATTTTACTATTACTTAACGTGTTATTGTTAACGTTGCTTTGACGCTACAGTAAATGGAATCGTAGTAATAGTAACAATATAATAAAAAAGGGTTGGGGGGGGGGGAGGCAACGTGAGCATGCATTAGCGAGAAAGAACACGTTCAACCAGTCGGGAAAATTCACGAAGCGAAAATAAATCGCAGCCATCGTTGGCGATAGGGTGAAGACGATGGCCTGGAGAGGAGCTGGAAACGCGATGCTCTCGACCATTCAATCGCCCGGCCTCATCATGAGCTCATCCCGTATCGTGGCCGGGGCCCTGCTGGCTGCACTGGGCACGGCGGCGGGGATTTACTGCGCGTGGAGGAAGCTCGGCTCGGCACAGGGAGGCGAGGGAACGGGGCCGGAGGGCGACTGTGGTGGTCGTGTTGGTGGTGGTGTTGTTGGTGGTAGTGGTGGTGGTGGAGAGGTCACGGAATTGCGGAGCGACTGTGAAGGGGAGGCGTGGTGCGAGCCGGAGTGCGCACGGGGGAAGGATGGAGACTCGTCGGACATCGAGTATTCCCGAGATTCCTCGAGCGCCGGGTTCGAGGCTCCCTTAGATCTTCCGCAGGTCGGTATTCTCGCGGCCAAGCGCACCTGCGATTAGCGCGGTTGGCTGCGTACGGTGCGAAAGAACTCCAGCATGCATACATACAGTACGTATATCGTCGTCGGCCAGGGTTAAATCATTGCTGGGGCAAGGACTCCTAGCCCCCAAGCTGGTCGCCAACCCTCGCTGTGCCGCGATGTGGCGTTCACCCAGCAGCTGCCGCATCACGAGCCGATTGCATCGTTCCTTAAGCCTTGGTTGAAGCCCTCTCGGACGCGTTCCATTCTTTGGCTGTCATTCCGTCGCTACTGACCACTGGCCGTCATCCATTCTAGCCATGACGTGCGCACCGACCAAGCCCACGTGCTCTTGTTAACAATTTGAATTATGTCTTGAAGTTGTACGCTTTCTAATCCACGTGTTCGTCTTTTTCTAGGTCGCCAGTGCAGCGTGAAATGTGTCGAAGGCGTTTTTTGTTGTTGTACCCAAGACCAGAGCTTAATTTCTCGCTGAACATTTTGCCGATCGCTGGCAGCAGACTGTAGTCGGCACGTGACTGGTTGCCCATAGCTTGATGTGGTATGCCGGGTGGGATAAAGTGTGTAGGTACTGTCACCTCTTTCAGAACTGTCGCCTCCTTATGGCAAAGGATCGAAGAGTAGGCCAAATACAGTAACGCTTTAGCGCTCCCTCTAGTTTGGGGGGGTGGGGGGGGGCATTCCCGACAGCAGTGGGAGTGTGCGAGACATTGCAGCTCTGCACTTTTACTCCCACCGCCAGGTCGCGACTGGCCTCCTCTGCGGCCTCGAGGACGCACTGAGCCAGACGGTGGCTCTGGTGGAGACGATGGGCCAGTGGAGCGAAGCGGCCTCGCCTCTGCAGCGCGACCTGGCGACCTACCCAGTGCTGGGCATGGACTGCGAATGGGTAAGCGACTTGGCCGGGGTCGCCCTGGCTGCTGGTGCACAGAATGTCTACGGTGTAATGGGGAGCCCTGACCAAACGACCCAGGTGGAGTGGGGGGGAGCGTTGTGGATGGAGGGGGGGGTGTTAGCTGAGTCGCTAGTTGGTTAGGGGAAGGGTTGGTGGAGTGTGTTCGCAACCTGTGATCCGCAGACCACTGGCGGTTCGCAGGGCCCGTGGGAGGTGGTCCGTAGAAACGTTGCGTGTCTGTCTCGCTGTTTCCACACCATATTTTTTTACTGCGTTTGGTCCATGGGTTCAGAAATGTTGGGAACAACTGGGTTTGGGGGAGCAGTAGGGTCAGTAGGAAGGATACTACTCGTGGCTGGTTGGCTCCAGTGTCCCACCGAAAGCAAAAAGAGAAACTTGAAAAAGAATTTGACAAATATCCCAATCTCTGGAGCCTCCTCGGAAGAGAGTTGATTCCCTGGTGGGAGGCCTTTTTGTGGGAAAATAATGAGCATTGACATTGCAGTGAAACTTCCCTTCGATCTAGGCACATCATTAGTGAAAATAACTTATTAGTGGATAATGGCATTCATTTGCTGCCACTTGTGATGCCCCTTATCAGCATTTCATAAGAGGGTTATATTCAATGCTTCCACGAGACTACTTCTGGGTTCAAATGGATAACAGAGGATCAATTTACCATCACTCCTCCTGGCTCCTGTTATCCCTGAAAAGACATGAATAGGACAATTTTGGCTCATCTGGGAGACCACACTTGATTGACTTTTGTTATCGGTAAAAAAATATGGATAACGAGGAAAAATCCATCTCTACATGCAGGAGCCTCGATGTATCAAAAAGGGGGGGGAGGGGGTAGAGGGGTGGTGGTAAATGGGATCAGTCGGGAATAGGATCATGGATGAGAGTAATTTTTGCAGAATATATACTGTATGTTGAACTTCTTTCGTACTGTACCTAGCCAACCGTGTTAATCGGAGGTGCTGGGTAAGGACGACGAACGAAACACAAAAAAGCTATTCTAAAGAAATTAGTTGGTCACTATAGATTTAAAAGTGCATAGCTCCAGTAGTTTCCTAATTTCGGAAGGAAGAGCGTTCCAGACAGCTGCAAAAGCGCATCTGAAAGCACGCAATGCAGTGACCATCTTTGTTCGATGGCCAGCCAAAAGCCGCTGCTGTGAGGATGACCAGAGTTCCTAATGGTTTATGCTCCTTGACAAAGGAGAATAATTATCGTCGTTGTGCCCAGGTGGTGGAGGACGGCAGGGCGATGCCAGTCGCCCTGCTACAACTCGCCTCGGCCAGTGGCTACTGCGTGCTGGTGCGGCTCTGCCCCCTCAACTCCTCAACCCCCTCCTCCACGATCTCATCTACGACCTCCTCGTCCTCCTCTCCCGATTCCTTCTCCTCCACCGCCGTCGACGGTGCAGCGGACCTGACTAACGCGTTGCCCTCCGGCCTACGGGACCTGCTGGCCAGCAGGGCCGTTCTCAAGGCTGGTGTGGGCGTGTTTGACGACGCTCGGCGGCTGGAGAGGGACCGCGGCGTCACCGTGCATGGCTGCGTCGACCTTCGGCACCTGGCGATCCGGCACGGGTGAGCGATTGGTCGCCCACTCCCGACGGTGGCGGCTGTGGTATATGCGGCGCTGTCGGGGAACGATCCTCGATGTGAGGTGCTGCTTGAAAGGGAATTGGTCAAACGGATTGATGCGTAAAGAACCCTCCTGAAAATGTATTTTTAGACTGCGATTCAATCCAGTCATACTCATCGTTCAGATGGTTCCTCGTTACTCGTGTATCGCTGCTACCACAGTCATGCCTTAATACAACTACCAATGTCGTGGACTCCATTGGACACTGCATTTTACACTGATACCATCGTGGGAATCGTCTTGTCTTTGAGGCCAGGTCTCATATCGTTGTACAGCTGTGGAAATGGCCTCTCTCTTCACCTTGTCGCTTTTCAATATTTGTGGCTAAGGAGTCGGATGATCTCCCAGATGTGCTCCATTCATCTTATTGTCTACTTATTCGCATAGACAAGGAATTTACTTTGGCAGGAAGGTGCATACATTCAACATATAGGAATCTTAAATCTTAAATAAGTGGTATACAAGTCTAACTATACTAAAGGTACAAAGTCTAACTAACACTAACGGGTTAAAGTTTGTAAAATTTTGAATAAATATTGAATATAAAGTAGCTATAAGATACAATCTAAAAATACAAAAAATACAAATAGGGTAACATAGTGTAAATATGGCAGGTGTCATTTTGTAGATAAAATGTTAAAGTCAGTGTAAGCCCTTGGCCTTGTTGAAGAGGCCAGCAGTGGATGGGAAGAAACTGTTTTTGTGGCGTGAGGTTTTGGTCCTGATGGACCGCAGCCTTCTGCCGGAGGGGAGTAGCTGGAACAGAGAGTGTCCAGGGTGGGAGGAATCGGCCACAATCTTCCTCGCTCGCCTCATGGTCCTCGAGGTGTGCAGGTTCTCAAGGGTTGGTAGATTGCAGGCAATCACCTTCTCAGCAGTGTGGATGATACGCTGCAGCCTGCTCTTGTCCTTGGCAGTGGCAGCAGCGTACCAGACGGTTATGGAGGAGGTGAGGATAGATTCAATGATTGCTGTATAGAAGTGCACCATCATTGTCTTTGGCAGGTTGAATTTCTACAGTTGCCGTAGGAAGTACATCCTCTGAGCTCTCTTGGTGAGGGAGCTGATGTTCAGTTCCCACTTGATGTCCCGGGAGAGAATAGTGCCCAGGAAGCGGAAGGACTCTACAGTTTTGACTGGGGAGTCGCACAGGGTGATGGGGGTGAGTGGGGCTGTATTCTTCCTGAAGTCCACAACCAGACTGTCTTTAGAGCATTTAGCTCTAAGTTGTTCTGGCTACACCAGGTCACCAGGTTGTCAGCTTCCCACTTTTAGTCAGACTCATCCCCACCAGAGATCAGCCCAATTGAGGTTGGTGTCATCCGCAATCTTCAAGAGTTTGACGGACAGATGATTGGAGGTGCAGCTGTTGATGTACAGGGAGAAGAGCAGTGGGGATCACATGGATATCGGGAGTTATTTTCACAAATGGGCCCCGATGAGACATCCTCTGAGGGCGCTCCCCCCATATCGGTGTGGATACAAGGTAGTTTCACAGCAAAATACATGTGCACGTAGAACTCTTTTTGCCAATCCACTGCTGGATAATGGCCTTGCCACACTATGCAGTGGGTCGGGATTATTTAATCCTTCATGTCGGTCAGTGTGGGCTGGTGATGGCTGATGTATGATACAATGGATTTTGTTGCACCACCCTCTGCTGAAAACGTAGCCCCACAGCAGCCAAGCACGATCCTGGCTCAAAACAGCCTGGCTTTCAAGATCTGCCTGCCGAGATTGTGATTTTGTCATGCATATCACAACCAGAAATAAATAGAAGCAACATTCTCCTTATAAATAATTACAACTGCCTTATAACGGAAACATATAAATGGGAGGCAGTTCTTTTGGACGATGACCTTTATACTTGACCATGCTGGTTGTACTATTGTAATGACAACGTTGGTGATAATGCCCACGTTGCACGCGCAGGCGGTGCAAGGGCCGCTGGAACGGCCTGGGCCTCAAGGTGCTAGCGCTCGCAGAGCTCGGCTTGGAGATGGAGAAATCGGCAGAGCAGCAGCAGAGCGACTGGGAGGCGCCGGAGCTCTCGGAGGCGCAGGTGAGACGCCGCTGGGCGACTGATGTGTCGCTCCACTCACCCGCGCAAGCGAGACGTCGCTAGGCCGGTGACGTGTTGCTCTACTCGTTCGCGCAGGTGAGACGTAGCGAGGCGAGTAACGGCAGAATGAAGTTGAATTACACATGTGTACGTGTAGTGACTAACTCGGAGACAGTAAGACTTGGAGGAACTTCTTTATTTAATAAGCAACATCGGGATAACGCACTATTAAGGCCGTCTATTGTCAGCGGCACTACTTGGAACAGTTGGTAGGCTGTCTGACTCGCGGCGCCCCGGGATGGTGAAGACTGAGACGACAACGAGAAGAATGGCGGCGATGGACTTCAGCAGCACGACGGGGATCCCTCTTCCAGCAACACCTCCGAGGTCCCCCACAGGGGCCCTTCTTATACTGTCAGCGTGGCCTTGCTCCGCCCCAGGCCACGCTACCTTTTGTGAACCTCTCGTGTATATCATGGCCTGCTGACGTCAGGACTGCCGTACGCCGCAGATCCCCTTTTTCGCCAGCAGCCAGCGCTATGCTACTACACACGTGTAGTGACATCGCTGGATGTCACCATGCTGTGGGTGCAGTACCGGCCATACAGGATGGGGTGTGTGGGTGCCAACTGAGGGGAAAGGTTGTGTTTTGCCCATGGCACTCTGGTTGACCCGGGAGGATACGTGACTGGTTAAGTTGACGGAGGGGGCCCCAAGAGGGGGCCAGGGGTGTCACGTGATTGGGACCCAGATCCTTCCCGAGGGTTCTGAAAGGTGGATGTGGCCAAGGGCGGAGCCGGCCACGCCACAGAGAATATAAGCCGGGTCCCGAGAGGGACCAGGGTTGTTCGTCCCGGGAAAGAAACCCTTCGTCTACGATCTCCGTTCAACAAGTCTTCCATCACGTGGAACCGGGCAGATGTCGTAGTCCCGGGTCCGTAGTAACAGTTACGTGGTAACTATTGTAGTTAGCCGGGTGGTCACCACCTTGGGTTGTTATTCTGTTAAGGGGAAGTTATCCCGTGTGTTGGAACTGAATAAATGTGTTACCTCCAAAGTCTGCGACTCGGTTGAACACCATTACACACGTATAGAATAGGATCATACATTTGAACTTTGAACACGGCTTGTAATGTTGGATTCTAGATGATGGGTTTGAATTTGGATTACAAAGATTACAGGATTGAATGTACCAGTGGCAAAACTTGCATACAAGTGGATTTTTTATGCTTGCGTTACCATCTGCAACAGCTGAGCTTAGCTGCTTCCGGGAGTGTGGGCGGCCGCAAAATGGAAATGTGTTTTTGGCCTGTACCGCTCTGCAGCTGATTTGACATTCTCCGCCGTGTGGTTGTTGCCGCTACCGCTCTCGCCTGTTCCGCACAGGTGAAGTACGCGGCCCACGATGCCCAGGTGTCGGTGCGCCTGTTCCTCAGTCTACTGGGCCGCAGCCTGCAGGCGCCGGCGAGTGACGCGCTCGGCCGGGTAAACTGCTGGAGCAGCGTGCGAACGCAACGCGCAAAGACACACGCAGAGACGCACAAATGAGATCTGTCTTCATCTGAATTGGCATACTGTACTCTACATCACGTTGGACACCCGCATAAGGATTTAAGACAAGGTTTTTGTATATATTGGCCGCTTCCTAAAATGCCTTGGAAACTCGAGGTGGATTGCATCACCTCTCCTCTCATCATGCTTTTGCGCAGATATAGGGAGGAGAGGTTTAGCCGAGGGGGATCCCCGATAGCTGCCTCTGTGCAGCACAAGGTGAACGCAGCACTCTGCTGGAAATGTGCATTGGTCCGACTGTAAGGGGTGATGTTGCTTTTGGTTTTTTTCAATGAAGATTTTTTTTCTCATATATGTACATACACGTATTTAGTTGATACGTTTAATTTATTTCACCAGGTTTGAACGCCAAGATGTGCAGAAGTTACCTGGGGCATTTGGTGTGCTCATAGGGGGTGATGATTGTGTAATCCCAATTAACTAATTTGCCAAATTTGTATCCTGACGCTGACACACATTAGCCTACCTTTGCAAATGACATTGAATGGATGTTTAACTTGCAATGTGAAGCAGACGGCGAGTCGTATTCTCGCGATTTATTACACACTGGTAATAATCGGGGTGGCTGCTTGTCGATTTTTAAACTGCCAGGCCCTGCCATGGCCCCGGGTGTCTTAAGAGATCTGGGTCTCAGGTGTGCACCACCACGTTGAAGATGCTGACTGCCCCCCCCCCACTCCCCTCCCAGAGCGACGAGGGGGGGGAAGACTGTAGCGGCGCGAGCACCAGTGTGGTGTCGGTCGACTCGGGCTGTGGCTCGGAGTGGGCATCGCCCGCTGGCATCGTGGGCCCGGGGGAGTGCTGGGCGCGACTGCTGTCTCGCTGCGCGGGACTTGTCGACGTCCCCTTTAAAAGTGGGTTCCGCCCTCTCCCTCTTGCACACTTTCTTAACCGTGTTTGGGGATTGTCATTTTCAACCCCCCACCCAATTGTATCCCGCTTGTGCCGTCGCCATCGCGCCATGAGGTGAAGAATTAATTTGGAACTCTCGCAGACCAATGCGACCCTTCGTGTTTAGAGATCAGCCGGGAATCGACGTTCGGTGGCCGTGTGACGTCTGTGTTGATGAGAAGCACGAATGGGTCGCGTGTAACGAGGAAGCACGTGGAGGTCATCGTCTCGATGGTAACGTTGCTTTATTGACATTGCACGCATTGCTGTAAATAGCACAGGAAAGGTGTGCTGCTCGCAAATGGCAGGAAGGCCCGAGGGCTGAAATGTGTGGCTGTGTTCTTGTTCAGACCATCTCAAAGAATTGAAAAACGTGGCGGTCTGGACAAGGCTTAAGAGCATTGCTTCTGAAGTGGTCGTCACAAGACACGCATGCAATGCAGATGGATGGGAGTTGTGCCTTCCCTACTGTTTCTGAGCAGCAACAGCAACGCACCTTTGCGTGTTTGTTAAATCTCTTTGTTTCCAGCCTGCACGCAGCTTCCTATTGTGGTGGGAAGGTTCCCCATCATTTACAGAAAGTGTAGGACATTGCTGCCACGCCCCCGGCCTGATGTCCACCGATTGCGCTGTCCTCACAGAGCTGAATGTGGAGACCGTGGGGAGGCTGCACGTGCGGTCGTCATCCAACGACTCGACGGAGAGCCGCGATGCTGAATCTGTGCCCGCGGAAAATGGGCTGAGTGGCGGTGATGCCGGCAGTTGCAGCAGCAGGAGCAGCAGCAGCGAGAACAGCCACGGTGACAGCACACTGTCCGTCATCGGGATTCCCAAGGTCAAGAGGGAAGGCTTCTTCTCGCCGAGGTTAGTGGCGAGACGGCGGATGTTTGTCCGAAATAAAGGGCTTCTCCCCAAGGGTGGCTGCGAAGATGATTGTGTGCAAGTGACGATGGGAGGAGAAGAGTGAAACTGCTCACGTAGGTGGGGCAATGTGAGCAGACAAATGGTACTGTCAACTGACACTGAAGATCTTCAAAGGTGGAAAGCATCTGTGATGGGTAAACAACCCTTGGATATGATGATACCACCACTATATTTGAGGGTGCTGGGTTCAAGTTTGGCTTTCAATCGCACCTGATTTTAAACGATATTCTAAAGTTTAGAGACTAAATGGTCTCGGCACCTGAGCATGAAAATCCGTGAGGTTATATTTGGTTTGCCACGTAATTGGATTTATTCCATCTTTTGAGAACATTGTTTCAGTGTTGCATATGACAAACTCTCTCTGTGGCATATAAAAGGTGTGAATGAAGAGGCTTCAAAAGGAGTTCCATGACATCCTTTTCAGGAGCCCGTTCTCTTACAGAGGGTGGTGCACTCCTAGCTGCCAGAGTTCCCAGAATATATAACGGTTACTTTATAGACGCATGGGATGATTAACATTTGCCGCTGGCAGTAGTACTACTCTTTGTTTTTTTCGGTATAGTTGCGTAGGTAAAATAAAATAAATGAAAACAACTAAATTAAATCACGACGTATCGGAGGCAACACAAGACGGAAGCTTGTGTTACCTCCAACTAAATTAAATCACGACGTTTCGGAGGCAACAGAAGACGGGAGCTTGTTGCCTTCTAAACGTCGTGATTTTATTTAGTTTTAATTTATTTTATTTTACCTACGTGACTTTACCGAAAAAAACAAAGAGTGTGAATCATTGCAGTCACGAAAGCTTCAAATCTGGAAGTAGTAGTACTCTATACGTTGGTGAAGGAGTTTGATGTTTGCTGCTGGATCATCGGGTCTTTCTGTCAGGAGTGGTGAATCCATGGCCTGCGGGCCAGATACAGCACACTTCTTTTAACACAGTCCATGGCCACATGCAGTCCTACCACTTGGAAACGATCTGCAAGCGATATTTGGATATACAGTGAAACCTTGGGTTGCGAGTAGCTGGGCAAGACGAGCAAAAATGTTAAATAAATAATAATTTGATAAACGAGCGATGTCTTGCAATACGAGCAGTACGTACAGTATACGCTTTTTCTGCTGAGCGTCACGTGATCACAACTGAGCCAATGGTTCTCTCTCTCTCGCTGCGGGATTGTGGGTAATCATATCTCATGCTCGGTCTCAGTCGGCGTGCCTCACTCGTATAGTCAACATCCGTGCGAGCGTATACTGTTTACTACAGTACTGTATAGTGTTGTGACCACGTGTGTGTGCATAAAGCATTTTTATTTTATGTCCAATTGTAGTGACTGTTCTTTAGAAAAGCACCACCCGAATAAGGCTGTAGCAGTGCGAGCGATGAATCTGTTTAACGACAATGCAATGTCACATTTCTGCGAAATCCTCAAAAGGAGGCAAAAGCAAGTGTTATTGGATAGGTTCCTTGTTAAAGTCACACAAAAAGAAAAAGATTCCAGTGAGCCAACAGATGGTAGTGATTCCGTTACTGACAGTGAAAGTCGTCCTACACAATAACCCTCCTCCTCTCTCTCGTCTCCCTCACACCAGCCACGATTAAATTTAATTAATACATTTGATTAATTTATATTAAATTTAAATAAAAATATAAAAATGTACAGTGTGTCTTAATCTTTTTTTTATTTTTTGGTTGTGGAACGAATCATATCAGTTTCTATTATTTCTTATGGGGAAATTCGCTTTGATATACGAGTGCTTTGGATTACGAGCACGTTTCCGGAACGAATTATGCTCGCAATCCATGGTTTCACTGTATTCGATTTCCCCCCCCCCACCCCCCCCCCCCTGTTGAGTTTGCTGGACTTTACAGTGGTTTACTATGTGGTCGATGTTCTGGTCGCTATTTCCACACTCGCACCGCCGGGCCTTCTTAGAATTTCTTCTTCTGAAGGCGGTGGCGGGGCGGACCTGCCGTGAAACGTGTTGAGTCGATGTGGACGGCCATTGTTTTTGGGAAGAAATTCAATCCAGGGGGTTTGTGAGTGGAATTGCCGATCGGATGATTGTTCAGAATGACGGTGTTCGCCCAAATCGAGCGCTATTTTCTCCAAGGCGGTAAAGGCAGAATTAATCAGGGCTCTTTGCTCGAAAACGACTTTGGCGATGTCAGGCAACAGCAGTATTTTCCCGTTTTAAGCATCAAACCTCATGTCCAACATCCCCCAAACCCTCGTTCTAGGTGTGTCTCTGCAAGCAAGGGGCTGTTCGTTGGTTTATTTTTTGTACCCAGTGTTCCTTTTGCGAGCTTTTTTTTTCCGTCGTGCCGCGGTTGTGGCCCTGCGTCTCTCACAGGAAGTCTCCGCTCTACGACAACTGCCTGCTCAAGGCGCCAGACGGGCAGCCGCTGTCGACGTGCGACCGTAAGAAGGCGCAGTGGTACCTCAACCGCGGCATCGCAGGTACTGGCCCTCGTGCTGTCGGCCTAGCGGTGCCTCTCCTCTGTGCCGTCCAAAGAGGCAAACGCTAACTGTGATTTATTTTTTTCTTTCTTCATTTGATCTGTAGACCAACATTACCAGTGATGGCAAGGTGTGATGTAGAATATGCTTTGGTGAGAACAAAATGAAACATCTGTAGATTGTCAATAAAAATTAAATATGGGGAGCAATAGTGTAGTGGTTGGCATGCTGTGTGACGAACCCGGCGACCCGAATTGGATTTCCGCTCACGGCCAACACCAGGTGACGATTATCTGAACCGGTCCTGGGCCACCCCGGTCGACTTTGCCTCAATTGAGTTACGTGGTGCAGTGTAAAAAACATCACCACTAGGGAGACAAAGGCGGCCGGGCGTGGCGCTGGCCACCTATCCCCTCGTGTGCTGTGCCGACCTTCATAGGTGCTCGCTAACAGCATTTGTCCCAAAAGTCTGTTCAGGCTATATGGGGGATTTTTATCTTCGTATACATCGGACTATATACACGAAGATTTCTGCCCAGGTGGACATTCTTCCATGGTGCATACTTCCCATGGTGGACACACTGGTAGCATTATTGACACCCCCAGGTGGTACCGACCAATCGCTTTGCTCGTGGACTACAGAGGCAGCGCCGTGATCCACCCGGGAACGCTGGCACGAGTGTGTGCCTGCATGTGTGTGTGTGTGTGCAAGCACATCTGTTCGTGCATGTACGTGGGTTAAAGTTTATATTTGTTTTAACCAGCTGAGAACTCAAGATATCGGGGGCACGTCTCCTTTGCGACAGTGACCTGGGTCCCCAAAATTACAGGCAAAATAAAGTACAGCTACAAATAGAAAACGCTGCACAGACACAAATCACTGCCAAGTAATCAACTCCGTGCATCACAAGTGGGCTGTGTGCACATGTAGGTAGGTATGTGTGTGTGTGTGCGTGTGCAAGTACTCCTGCGTGCGAGTGGGGATTTATGCGTGTGTACCTACACGATGCTGCGTTTTGGGGGAACAGCAGCGCAGTGGTTGGTGCACTGCGCTACAGATCCCGCCACCCGAGTTCGATTCCCGCCCATGGCGAATATCTTCACCCTGTCCTGGGCCTCCCCTGGGTCGACGCAGCCTTATATTAGTACCTGGTACAGTGTGAAAAACCATGAGTACTGGGGCGACAAGGGTGGCTTGTCGTGGTCGCTTTTACCCCCTTGTGTGCCGTAGCCGCCCTTCGCTAACAGTGCTTGCCCGAACAGTCTGTTGAAGGCCACATTGGGGGGGGGGGAAATCTTTTTATGTTGTGCGTCTGCTCAGAGCTGGAAAGCCAAGAACCCATGGTGGTGCGGCTGGTGTTCGAGCCGGCCGGGCGCCCGGACTCGCAGCACGACTACTACCTTGGCGTCAAGCGCAACGTGTGTGTGGTGTGCGGCCGTGCCGAGTCTTACGTCAGGTGCGGTGCTGTGCGGTGTTGCTGTGCGGTGTTGCGGTGCTGTGCGGTGTTGCGGTGCCGAGTGCTTCTGCCGCGAGGCGTCCCCTCGCTTCGCTGGGTCCACAGGCCGCTGGCCGCGGGAGGCGGCACGATGCAGTCGATAAAAAGTTAACTCTCGCGACCGCATCGCTGCTTTAATTTGGTAGAGGGCTTGAATTTCTGCTCTGTCTGTCCCCGGGCACGTAACATCCAGTGTTTAATCTTTTTATATCGTTCTAATATTTTTAGTATTACGCGTCCAATGAGGATAAACCACCACAGAGATTAAACGATGAGGTCTGTTCATGTGAATGAGGGAAATGGTTGGTGGGCAGCATTTAACTGAGGGGAGTAGGGGGGGGGTGGTAGGCCTTCAACTGGCTGACGATGACTGACGATAACTACTTGTCCCATCACTGCTTGCGCTTGTGCCCGTGTGCGCCATCAGGAAGAGCATCGTTCCGCACGAGTACCGCCGCCACTTCCCGCAGCAAATGAAGGACCACCAGTCGCACGACGTGCTGCTGCTCTGCACGCCGTGCCATGCCGCGTCGGCCGCAAATGACCTGCGCCTCAAGCGCCAGCTCGCCGACGAGTGTAGCGCCGGCGGTAGTGGCGTTGCGGCGGAAGGGCCCCGCGTCACCGACGACCCCGTGCGGCGCAACGTGAGATCGGCGGCGCGCGCGCTCCTTCGCTCGGGTTCGGCGCTGCCCCCGCACCGGCGTCGTGAGCTGCTTGGCTGTGTCCGCAGCTTCTACGCCGAGCGCTGGAGCCACCTCGGCAGCTGCCACCAGCTGCTGCAGGAGGCCGCCAAACTGGAGACCAGGTACGCACGCACGCGCTCGGGTGGAAAGGGGGTTATAGTTTGAGGTCGGCCCATCACGGCCATGATTAATCCGCTGCTGGATGAAGGCCGCTCCAAGTGGTCACTGGCCCTCATGATCACATGATGCAATACCCTGGCTGACACCTGCACGAGCAGATTTAATCCCTCTACCTCCTTCCTTTGCCATGATGTTATTCTCGCTCACCGGCCAATTATCTCTTTATCAGCCCACTTTTCTTAATTGTCAATGATTTAACTTGCGTATCTTCTCCAATGCATGTTCCTGTCTCAATGGAATTCAGCCATAGATGCGGCTCGGAGAGACTTGGGTGTGACATAAAACTGCATAGCATGATGGTCACAAGAAGCTATCGCCACTCTTTCCCTTGTTTTGGCTGAAAGTGAAGTTATTTCCTGCACAATTGGGCATTGACGCAGTTATTCCTCGTTATAGCTTTGAGCCAATGATGGAAATTCCACGTTACTATGATGGGGACAAGTATACCCACTTGACCTCCCTCCCCAGTGGTACTATTTTTTTTACTGTAGAGGGATGATGGGCCGAGCTAACCCTCAATTGGTATTTCAACTCTGAACCTGACTGGTTTCTAACTAAATACCCATATACTGTGAGATGGAGAGGAAGGGGGTGGAAGTGGGACTGTGGAAGTGGGATTGTGGAACGATCTTGTGATATTTGATTGGCCAGTGCAAGGTGGGTGACATCTCCCATAATGCTGTCTCTGGCCACCCTCCTGCGCCGCCCCCTCAGGGTGGTGAACGGGCAGCACGTGCCGCACGGGCTGCGCGTGGTGCAGGTGTACATGCGCCAGGGGCTACCCGCCCTCGCCTCCTTGGAGCGCCGCTGGCGCCAGCACTTCCTGGACACAATGCTCCCGCGCCACCTGCCACCAAACTGGTCCGTCACGCACAACCACGACAAGCTGATGCTGCTGCGCTCGGACCCCACCGACGGCACAACGCCGACGAAGTGCATACCAGGAGCTAGCAATGTTTGCACACCGTCCGGCGGTGACAAACCGGTCGCCTTCAGCACACCAGTCAACGGTGGCACAACGGGAGCCGGTGATAGTACGCCCACAACACTCGGTGGCGCATCAGCCGTCGCTGCTGACGGTGTTTGCGCTGTAAATGGTCCGACATGCCGCCACGCGCCTGGCACGAACTACCTGCCAGTGGAGAACTTGCGGCCTGGGCAAATGTGACGGAGGCCAACTGCTGCCCACTCGCTGACCAACGTCTACCTCGTGTTAAAAAGCCAGCTCCGGTGCTCGGCCTCCTATCGGGAAAGAGAATGTCTTTGGAAGATGGGTGACATTTCTTCGCCTTGAGAGACTGCATTCCAGTAGTGGCGCTGCCTGCAGTCATGGGTCGGCCTAATCTACAGTGAACCACGGGTGCATAAAAAACTGCTGCGCCATGCGAATGCATTTGCGCTCTGTGCGGCGTCAAGTGGAATTATGCGTAGTAAAGCATTAAGTCGTGTTTACAGTGTTTGAGCTCAATGGGAAATCTATTATATAAACTTGAAATTATTTGAATTCTGTAACAGTCGGTGGAATTTGTACAGCCTATTCAACTGTAAATAGTAATACTGCTTCTGTAAGAAATAACCGAACTGCGACACGTCTTCATACAAGTCAAATGTAAAAGCATGTGAAAATAAAAATCCTTAAAAGGCAAAATATGAATTTTCTGATGTGAATTTTATTGTGTACAACACTTGGGAAGTTAACTAAAAAAAACAATCGCGCACGCACAAACACCCACGACTTGCTCTAAATGGAGGCTGCTTGACCATCCCAATGGATTACAGCGCTCCAAGACTGGCAGGAATTTTTGCACCCTGTGGGGGAAACGTGGGTGGAAAATGAAAATTTATAACTCGTCTATCTTTACATTTAAAATATTTTGATAGCGGACACAGCCAGGAAAACTGTTCCCTGCCCTTGGAACCCAGTCTCGATCATCGTGTGCGGTTTTATGAAGTTATTTGGCCTTGAATTTTCAAATCCATTAATGTTCGTACGCACAGTGATGTTGACTGACGCAAGTAAACTCGCAGCTAAGCCACATCATAGCACTCTCACATCCAACGCCATCACCTTTAATTTGTCCCAAATGTCAATGATTCAGATGAGTAGACTAAATGAACCTTATGGCAGTACCATAGTACCCCGGCTCTCGCATGTCAGTGATGCAGTCATTTTTAGTCTGTTGATGGTCGGCGATGTGGCAATCGACTCATCTCGACGAGCTGTACTCACGATGCACCACCACTACTGTGTGTAGGAGCGTTCATGGTTTCAGCGCAATAGTCCTCGCCGCGTTTCTACGTCGCTGAATAGCACTGATTTCGGATTGATTGGTACCCCAGTCAAGGGAGTTAAGTACACCCCTGAAAAAAGTGTCCCAGAAAAAAAATTCTGCCATTTTATATTATTTGGTACCCTGGGGTGCCGCCATAAGGATCAAACGTATGAACTAAGAGCTTCCCAAAATCCATTTAAGTCACCTTTCCATGTTTACCATTATTCCCCATTAAAAATCCAAATAGGTTGCACACTACATGCAAGTGATTGGTTCACATCCATCCTGATGGTGTTTATAATCGGCATCCATTTCATGCTCTACATCAGGTGTTGGATGTTTACCACCAGTACTTTTATTTGTATTTGGAATTTTATAAAAGTGGAAAGGTGACTGGGTCACAAGGACTGGGTTTACCTGGCAAACAAACACTAAATGTATTTGCACACGTGAACAAATATTGGCAGCCATGGAAAGCCAATTGGTGGAACCATGTTTGACAAAAAACACTTGTATCATTAGGCCTGTAAAACATATTCAGAATGTTTTTATTTTAGACGAATGCACTGAGGAAACAGCCTTGCTGTGGTCCACATGGGCTAGACTGACAGAAATAAAATGCGTATAAAGACAACAGCAAATACTGGGATCCACTGAAGCCAGCTGCCATCAGAACTTGAACTCCTTGTACTTCTTGGCGCTCTTGTTTGCGTCCTGGGCTTGGGCCTTGCGTTTCTTTTGCTGCAGCCAGAGGAAACAAGAACAGGTACAAGGGTCACTCACGGGAAAAAAAATATACCACAGTCAATTCATGGAAAATCCAACGTGCCAAATTTATTAGGAACAGATTGGCTGCAGCAGAGTGCTAAGCACAATAGCACATGCCACGTGGGAGTGTCAATAAAAAGGCCACCACTTTTGTGGCCACTTGTCATTTGTAGTTTTTACTCCATTTCCTGCATCCGCCTACATTAAGCACATGCACCACATTAACCACTCACAATGCATGCAACCCCACACGCCGCTCTCTAACCTTCTGCTTGGCAGCGTGCTCTGCCACCATGTCGCTGAAGTCCTCCTTCTCCACCTGGGCCTGCTGCTCCCGCACACGCTCCTCGTACTTGGCCGTCATCGCCGTCGGGTCCAGCTCCAGCTCCTCGGGCGCCAGCGCCACCTCCACGCCCTGTGACTCTCCTGCGCCTCCACCGCCACCTCCGCCGCCTCCACCAATGCCACCGCCGCCACCGGCAACACCGATGCCTCCAGGCCCCGTGCCAACCAGGCCCTTGCGTCCGGTCACCTGTGTGGGTAATCGAAGGGGCGGGCGCCGCGATGTTAACACCTGGGATTCGGCGAGACTTGAGCGGTTGCTTAACGATGATGGCTCAAGACAGTGGTGGGGAGAACCTACAAGATCTGCTACTTCGAAATGCGACGCAAACAAAACAGTTTAGAGTGTCAAGTAATGTGGCCTTCCAATAGTATTTGAAAATCCTATTCGGCACTCGGTAAGGAAAAAGTTCTACAGAACGTCACCCTGTCCTTAATGTCCAAGTTGCCGTGTTCGCTTATAGTTAAGCGTTGCCGGTGAAGAATTCGAATTACAATTTCTATACATTTTCCCTATCTTAAGTCATTTCATGACCACTGTACCAATGTAAATCAATGAAGACCAATTTTTGGCACAGGCCCGCGCACGGTCAGTTAATTAAGGGCTCGTAGAATGCAACTTGGGTTTATGAAGCATCTTAAAGGCATCGCAGAGGAAATGCACTATAACATAGAGGCGATGTAAGATGATGAACCTCTTAATGGTAAAGCCCTAAAGCGCTTACGCGCCAATTTAAAAACATCCATTTAGGAACTGCTGGTTTAACGAGGATCAGAAAAATGCCCAACCCAAAAAACCAGACAGGTGTTACCTTGTGGATGCATAGCTAAACTGTGCGTGTGGTAAGACTGACGCAATTGTGAGGTGTTGTTTATGAGTAAATGGACTTTGAAGACGTTACGGTTTAAGTGTGTCATTATGGAGCGTGACATCGCTGTGAAGGCCACTATCGGTATAAACCTTGGCTATGCATCTATAACAGCTGTTTCTGTCGGCACCTCTTACTTAAGGTGGTATTTTAACAAGTGTTTACACACTCGTTTAACAAGCCCACTTGTTTAATAAGACCAATTACTTTATAGTGTAGCAGCTGGATATAAACACTCCCCCTTAGGAATAAAGCAGGAGTACTTACATGCTAAGTTACTCCTTGCCATTTGCCCACCAGTATAGCGTAGAGTGTGTTGCTTATATCAAAATTGATTATTTTCCTGCTATAAATTTCCACATGATAAGCCACTTTGTTGAGCTAACATTTGTGGCCAAGTCGCTTCTGAATAATAACGTCATAGCTCAGTGACCTTTACTTGGTACGATAGATGTTTTTAAGTAATTATGTTTACCTTTCCTATACTTTACACTCCGGTTGTGTTTTTGTATTGTTTGTTGTTGTAATGTTCTGACCCACCCCTACTGGACGTCTGTGAAAAAGTGCTTTATAGCACATCGGATTCCCCCCAGGATAAATAAACTGATTCTGTGGTTATATATTTGTGTGCTTACAGAACACGCTTCGACTGTGGTCATACAACGAGAGGTAATGGGTGCTGCGATGGACAGTGGTAGCTGTGGCTGCGCCGTGCGGGTTCCCCACCGTTGACATGTCGTAGATGTGCGCGGAACCCATCATGGCAGCGCCAACGCCAATTCTCTTTTCCGGCAGCGGGATGAAGAGCTGCTGCGGTGTATCCCCACTGAGTCACACAAACGCCGAGTCGGGAGAAACAAACGTTACGTGGCGCGAGAGTGACGAAGCATTAACGTGCGCGTGCGCCAGACGCCCAACGGCGAAGGTGTTCACTGCTCAAATTTCCAGCAAAACGGAGGTGGCTAGGTCGCCCGGACGTCGTCGCGCGGAGCTGGCCTGTAATTGCTTCAGCCTAGCCACCAATGACTGGACAGAAAGCCGATTGCATTGAATTCGATGCTACAGATAATTTGGCTGAATTATGGCTCTGGGAATTCAAAATATATTTCTGATTCTCATGCGACAAGCAATACACTCGGTGGCGGGGTGGGGCAGAAGTGCTGCCTCCTACTGTGTGGACCAGAGGTCACGTGATAGGATGTCAGAGGTAGTAACTCTGTAATATGCACTTCCACGGACCATTCTGTCACATCAAGCGTTGCACTTCTCTGTGAGTTCCAAATATATACTTTTTTTTGTCGCACAACGCTGATAAAATTAGGGCAAAAACCCAAAAAACAATATCCTTGCAAATCCAGCACTCCTTACCCATCCATGAGCTCCTCAATCTTCTTTTTCCTCAGCTCAATCATGTCCGGTGTCTCCATGCCGGTCGGCACAGATGCAAAACCGCCAGGCGTCACAAGGCCGCTGCACAGAAAGAGAAGATGGGGGGTGGGGCGAAAGGGACAGTGACACAAGGCAGAGCATTATACAAGGGGCCAGGAACGGACGCCAGGACGCGAGGATCAAAGCAGCTGGCTCACCATCGTGACGATGCGCCGCTAAAGAGGTTTCTCATACCTGTCAGCGGGCGTGATGAGGCCGGATGCGTCTGGCGCCTCATCCTCGCTTTCCTCCTCCTCCTCTGAAGATTCTTCCTCATCGGAGGCCTCCAGCTCTCCCCAGGGGGTGCGGTCCATGTCCTCCTCCTCCGCCTTCTCCTACTCGCCGCAACAGGGTTACAGCGACGAGTCAGCGTGAGTGTGAGGGGTAAACTCTCTACGTGACTTGACCGAAAGACCCAAGAATATAGTAACTGATACAGAATTCTAAATGTAGACCTGGAATCAATAAAAAAATCTCCGAAATGTCCTCGTGCGAGAAAGCCGCAAGATCTCTCTAAAGCCACTTGGACAAAACCGTCGTCATTCGGGAAACACACAACACATCGCCAGACTAAGTCCCTAAGTTGGTAACAATGGGAGTGAACGTGCGGCGATGGGTGCAACCTCCCGTAGGCCCAAGCGAGCGGGGGATACCTGGAAGTCCTGTGCGCTCACACCGAACACATCACCGTAGAGCGGGCGGCCCATCTCGTCCACGGGCGGTTTGCCCCAGCCGCCGGCATGGTATCCGAACGTGCAGCCCTGCCCGCACCAACGCGGCGCACAGAGAAAACATAACATGGGTGAGCGAGTGAGCAAGTGGTGCCGGTGAACAAACTGAACAAATTCTCAAATCAGCAATAGTTCAACAGTTGTAGGAGAGAGACGTGTCCTGTTGGTGATGTATGTATGTAGAATTTCTTTTGCACTACATGTAGCCAACCGCGCTAATCAGACAGGCAGGGGAAGGACAACAAACTAGAATAAAGAATATGATCCCCTTACTGCAGTTGAACTAATTAAAACAAACTAGTATGCCCCAACCTATTGTCACGAGCGTACATTTTTCTTAGGCACCTTACTTGTGCTGAAACATTGTTTGTATACTTGTGCAATGTCTGATGAAGTGTACAGAGTGGTCAGTCAGCTAGCCAAAAACATATTTGGCTGACCCGTGACTTCCTGCCAGCCAATGTCCTGTAGCCTCAGAGTGGACTGAGCCTAGCAAAAGCCCCAAGGTGACACCACTGCCACCTAATGGCAAATGGTAGTTGTGGTATTAATTGCTTCAGTGTGTGTGACTAAGTCTTAATGCCTTCCCAAAATAGTCTGCGATATTTCAAACCAAATGAAAGTGTAAAAAAAAGACAACAATTGTTCAAGATTATTTTTTTCTCTCTGTAAAAATAAAAACCGCAATCGTATATGTGAACAACAACAAAGCAACGACAATGACGGTGAAAACCACGGTGAAGAATGCGATGACGAGTGAAGGTGCACCCACCTCTGGGATGGGCGAGTTGAGGCCTGGGATCTTGAGGTTGGGATACGATGGTGGTGGGCCATAGCGCTGCATGGCGATGAGCCAGGGGGGTGGCACCTTGGCACAGTTCTGTGGACAATAGAGAACAGTGGATCAAAGCTATGGCTCTCAAGTCGAAAAGCATTTAAAGAGAGACTTTAACCTGGTTTAACGTTGTTATAATGCATCGAGTAACAAGCCTGCTTTCCAAGCGAGACCCGTGTTGAAACACAACAGAATTTATTTGAGTACAATAATCAGACGGAACAAAACAAGTAAATAATATTAGGTAAACAAAAACCATCACAAATAATAAACAATGTCTATGTGGTACTAGATACTTGCTACATAGCTTAACATTATTAAGTCTTAAATACATACAGCCAAGCGTTAACTCCAACCCAGCATCAATTGCGCTGAATTAAAGTAGAGTGATGATAGTAATCAGAATAAAGATAATAGTCACGATAACAATGATGATAAGGACGATGGTTATGATGGCAACGGTAATAAATCGTACTGATTGTAATGATAGTGATTATGATGATGGTAAAGATGAGGGCATGTGTGTCCTCAGTGGGGACTCCTCACCAGGCCTATGGGCATGCCTAGTGCGATCCGCAGGTCGTCCGACAAATCACCCGGCTTCTTCTCCTTCAGGCGCGTCTCAAACTCCTTTCCCTGCGCGCAGCCACATCCACACCCCAAGTTAATGTTAGGATACACTGGCCACAAATGTATACATGATTAACTTCTTTTGCACCGTACATAACCAACTGTGCTAATCAGAAGAGCGGGGGAAGGACAAAAAACGAAAACAAAAAGCTATTCTAAAGAAGTGAGTTTTCAATCTAGATTTAAAAGGCCATAGCTTGAGTGGCTTTCTAATATCGGAAGGAAGAGCATTCCAGACGACCACAGAAGCGCATCTGAAAGCGCACGATATATTGACCATATTTTGTTCGATGGTTAGCCAAAAGCCGCTGTGAGGATGACCGATGTTTGCATGATGGTTTATGCTTCTTGATGAAATCAGCAAAGTATTGTGGTTCATTTGTGGAAATCTTTGGGGATCGTAATCAATCAGGCTACGCGTTAACTGTGTGTCAGCCGACTCTCTGTTGTTGCATTGCATACAATTTTTTGCTAAATTTTGTTTTCTCCAACTGCCTATTTCTCTCTCTAAAATTTACCAGGTTCTCATAGGTACATTCGCTCTCTCTCCCTCGGTCGCCTCGGGGTGGATTTCCACACATCTCTCTCAAAAATGTACCAGTCTTGTTGGGTCTTTCAGTGACATGCTAATTGCTCGGCTCCAGCAAACCCACCTCTCTCTCTGCCCCACCACCCACCTCTCTCTCTATTTAAGACCTCGACACAGAGGCATTGGGTCTCTGTGTGTCGATGTTGTGTCTCTCTCTGTGTCTCTGTGTTGTCTATCTCTGCTTGTGTGTCTGTGTGTCTCCATGTTTGTGTTTTGTCTCTCTCTCAAATTTAGTTCTACCTGATGACGGTTGCTTGTGTTGCAATCGAAACGTCGTATTCTATTATTTAATTTATTTTCTTTCTACGTGACTTTACCGAAAGAACCAAAGAGTAATTCCTGCAGTCAGGAAAGCTTCAAATCAAGTTTGAATATTTGAAAAATCATGCATATGCATAAATTCTATAAAGCTGTTTAATTAGCAGCATGTAAGCGAACCGGGTAGCCATAAGGTCAAAATGTATTAACTTATTTGCAAAGTCCTTTCGCTCTCATTTGTGTCTGCGATTTGTGCAATCCTGAGATTAGTTTGGCCGGTTTCAATTAGGAAAGTCCTTAACAGCCAGGCAACTATATACTAAAATGTACTGGATTAACCGTTATCATGCCAGTGCAGGCAGATGGACAGACAGAGCTAACACATACACGTCACCAACCTTAGTTTGAAAGCGTTAAAAACATTTTATCATCAGGCATGCCATTATAATGCTTTTATGATGTCACTGCAAGGACTTCCCATTCCTCTACATGTAAAAACATTACTCCCATAAGGATAGATAAATGCCACGCCGGCATGGTAACACTCGGGCGACATACTTCACTATAACAATTTTTTTTGTTCCCATTAACAAAGCCTAAAATTCACATCTAACAGCATGGGGACAATCAGCCTAATTTCTCACTCGATATTTTACAGAACGCTTCTGGCTGTGTATATCATGTGTCACATATGTGGCTTCTTGACGTCAGATATTTGTGCGTCCTTAAAGTTCAACTTGACAAGGAAGTGAAATTCGAGTACTATGCTAATTAAGGCTATCTGGTAAACATGAGAACCATTCTCACACACCACCCTAAGCGGTGAGATGGATGTGGTGCGCCGAAATAATTACCGGAATGACGTTCGAGACCGTTCCGGCTGAAATTAAGCACTGGCCTAACCATGCATCTACGAGATAAGAGCAACCTGGTTTTTCCGAGTTACATCATTCCTCAAGTGAGTTCAAGTTCCCTGGTGTGACATGAAACGTGTGGCTTGGGCTGTACCAAGTGCTCACCTCGTAATAGAGGTCCCCATGGATGGTCATCTTGGGCTTGCTCTGCCACTTGAAGAAGGCGTCGTGCAGCTTCTGGTAGTCGATGTCGATCTTGCCGAGCTTCGGCCGAACCTTCTCGCGCATCTTTGACTTGAGCGTCTTTTGGTCCTCCTACCCGTGCCGAATAACAGGGGGCCAAGGGTGCAGGCCAAGATGGGGGAGGGGGGGAAAATAAATCACCTGCCGGTTAAAAAAGGTCTCACGCACGCATGTATGTTGAACTTCATTCGTACCGTACGTAGCCAACTGTGCTAATAGGAGGTGCGAAACAAGTAAGATTAGGCAATACCGCAGCGATTAAAATTTTTCATTACAATTGTTGGGTCACAACCAATAACCTAACCAAAGCTTGAACTTGGATTCTTAGGATTTGTTCTTTGTTGGCTATTATCTAACAATATAAAACTACTAGTACATCACCTCCACCCACATTCCAACATACTCCAAGTTTCCTCGTCATAAGGCAGCTCATTGAAAATTCCATTCTCCCACTCTAAATCCATAAAAATCATCTCATTGTCCTTACTCTATGCCTCTGATGAAGGATCATTATCAAAAACACTGCACGACCGGACACTTTTCTGTAATTTGGCAGTGTCAAACCCAAGGGTGGGAAAGTTCTCTCAATCAGGTGTTCTTTTGTCTCCATTATATTTGAATCGTGCTATCGGTGTCATGTCATGCAAAAAGAAAATGACATTGAAAAAGCTTGCAGTAAGCAGTGCGCCATTTGTATCAGCGAACAACCATTCAAAGATGACGAGAGATCTACACTTCTGGAGTCATTTAAAGAGGTCTTCGGATCCAAAATCGACGCACACCAATTATATCCCCTTCAGAGAAGGTTCGTCAAATGTCATCTCGACCGAACAGTTTTTAAAAGTCGAATTAAGCAACAAACAATATTTGACAGAACGGTCTTTTTAGTGCAGTCACTGACTGGGCTGAGAATCCCGAGGCTCACTGAAGAACCAAACTAAGACCACTCGATGCACAACCCTACAAGCGGTGAGAGCGCCGTGCCACCACACTGGCCCACGTGCAGCCATTCGCCCCCGTCGCTGTCTCACCTTCTCCTGCAGCGCCTGCCTCATCTCCATGATACCCGTGCGCTTGATGAAGTCAGGGAGGTCGAAGGGCGGCTTCTCTATGCCGCGTTTGCCCTGCAGGTACTTGCGCTTGAAGCACCAGTGGCGCGGCACGGGCACCGTATTGCGCGTCGACTTGAGCTGCACGAGCAGCTTGGGGTCGCGCGCCGTCACGTCGTGCATCTCCACCACGTCCGGTCTCATCACCAGCTGCGAATTAGAATAACGATGACGATGACGATGATTCCAATGATGAAGCTGAATGTCCGTTCACCTGGGTGCGGGGTCATCATGTGTGCCGCAAAATGAACCGTGCTGGTGGCCGCTGCGGGTTTTTAATAGGAAAATAAACAGGTTGGTAAAATCATGCATGTCCATGGATTATGTAACGCTTTTCAACACGCGCATGTCTTCAGAAATATTTACTTAGCAGTATGGAAGCCGATGTCAGGGCGTCACTTTGGATAAACGTTTGATTCAATTGTCTGGTTTTCAATTGGGTGTGTCCTTAATTGTAAACAATTTTACACCAATGTTTTATTAATCTTGGATCATCCTTGTAATCCATAAAAAATGCACTTTCCTCTATGCAGGTGTTCACTTACCCCATAGAAAGCCCTGAGCTAATTACCCCGTTGTGTGTGGGGTTCTGCAGACTAATTTTCAGGTGTGTCTATGTATTTCTGAGCTACGCTTTCCTCCACAGGATGATGAAGGGGGGCGGCGGGGGCTCGACTGCACAGATAAAATCGATAACCTGCATTTGTCCAACCGCTCAATTATTTCACACGTGTCAAATACTACTTTACACATTCGGACGACGACTTAATTAACAAGCGCGCAGGTCGATTGACTGGGGTTGAACAGTAAATCATTCTCAAGTGGCCCGGCACGCTGCTGGTCAATCGGCCAATTGTCTTCACCCATTCAAAACCACTTTGCTCGTCCAGACAAATCGACCGCGCCCACGATCTAAGCCGAGAGTAAGAGTCTTCAACTCAACATTAAGCCCTCGGAGGCAGCCCCTCACTTGAGAAAACAGGTGCGCGTTAAATGACGCACTCCGAGGCACAAAGAGCACGTTGCCGCAAATCAATGGTTTGTCTCTCTCAGCTTTCATCGGATGTACACACAAAAATACGCCAAGGGGGGTTGGGTACCCACAATATACCCCACAAAAAAATTGATTCGCACTTAGCACATTTTTTTAAAAGTGTGTAGCAATTTTGACAACTGGCCTAAAAAGGGTAAGTGCTGGATAATAAGTTGATCCTGCGGTCTTATTATGTGTGTGGTATTTCTATGCCTTTTCTTGTTGATGCTAATAATTTTATATATGCAGTACCAGCCTTCAAAGACGCTCACAAACAGCTTAAAAGGAAGCCACTAGAGATATGCACTTTCAAATCTACATTGAAAACTAAGTTCTTTAGTTTGTTGTCCTTCCCCCGCACCTCCCATTAGCATGGTTGGCTACGTACGGTGTGATAGCTCTCCCCAACAGCCAATGTAGATTACAGGAGGGGACCTCAGTCTCAGTTTGAAAGCGTTGGACACGGGGAGCCAGCAGGCGGGGAGCATGGCTTCTCACCTGCTTGAGCTCGGCGACCGTCAGCCGGTTCATGCGCCGCAGCTTCTTCTTCGACAGCTTCGGCTGCGACTCCTTCTTATCCTGCAAAAGAGTTGAGCGTTAAGCACCACCGTGCCCCGGCCGCAGACGCCGTGGCGGTGTCGCGAGCCATCATCAACCATCCCAATCGGAGGTGAGCGACTGACATGAGGGACACAGCGATATCATTAACAATAACACTTTACCCCACTCACCAATAGCCTGTGCACTGGCACCTTACCTGAAACCATCCACAGTGCCAACTATTCCACTCACCGACAGCCTGTGTACCTAGTATCCACGTATCAATTAACCCCCATTACCCCCAGAAATCAGTTGACCTTGTCACTATTTGGTGTGCGAATGAATTCAAGAATACATTTTCTTGTTTTATTGTCACTTGTTCATTTCATTTGTTATGCCTTGTTTGCAGTTTCCTTGACCTCATGTAACATTGATTTTATGGCTTTATTTTGGTGATTTCGAAAAGTTTTTTGGTTTGGCCATGATTGTTTGTTGTAGTACGGAGTTAGACTGATGGCCTTAATCTAAGTTGTCTTGTGGTTGTTGTTGTTTGACTTGCATCCCACTGGGATTTTTGCACACAGCGGTGGTGTACGGTGCTTTTTCAGGAATATTTTGATGTTTTTTTCCTGGATTTTCTGTTTGCACAGTCACTTTAAGATGTTTTCTTGTTCATATTTTTGTTTGTTGCGGTTGCACCCGATTCAAGAGCCGAATAGCTCACAGGGCTATACCAAATAAATTAAACTGAAAAATGAGCCTAAAGGTAGCATTGTCATATAATTTTAATCCATTTTACATAAAAAAATTCTTACACTCACAAGTCCAAGCATGTATTGCATGCTTAAGATTAAATCAATGTCCCATTACATCCTTAATTTAAATAAAGCATACAACTATATAACAAACGAACACTACACACCAGCTACTGATAGCCTGAGTAAAACATGCTTGCAGTTACGAATAAACTTCGTTTGAGCGTGGTTAGATGAGTTAGCTTTTAATGTGGCTACAGCCCGTAAGAAATGGAGCCGCGGGCCGTATCTGGTCCATGGGACGTATGTATTCCACCCTTGCTGCGCTGGGCATTGTGGCCTACGGGCATGTCAAAGCTGAACGCCGCCGCACTGCGAGGCACTCACGTCGTCGTCATCATCGTCGTCGTCATCGCTGTCTCTCTCCCGCTCGGGCTCCTTCTTCTTCTTGGCGGCTGCCTCCTGCTCTAGGCGCCCTTTCTCCTTCTCCTTCTCGGCCTCCTTGTCCTTTTTCACCTCCTCGGAGAGCTGCGGGAGGCGGAGGGGCGCACATCGTCACGAGCAGTGCTCAATTTCAGGCACATCTTTAATCGGCTGTTGCTTTGGATTTTTTAAATGTTATTCTCGAATCCGATCTCGTCATTTGACAATTACATATGCCATGTACGTTAAAAAACCTACGGCCCCTTGTCAGTCCGTTTCTGAAGGCCTCAATACCGTATCGGTCATGGGGCTTGTTTGACCATACTTTACCACGTTGATCAGTGGTTGTTATTTTTGCATGCGATTATCAAACACGTTAATCAACAAACTTCAAAAACCATATTTCAAATATCTCTGCAAAAGATAGGTCTCACCACTGGCAGAGGTGGTTAATGATCTAAATGACATGTACATATGCAAATGAATTAAATGTGTAATTCATACACACGACACACCTCAAAGGAATTGGTAATTGTATCCAAATTACATGTGGCGCGGTTAATCGGTAAACTATATCTACATTGCTCTCGTCAATTCTACTTTATCCATAGCTGTATGGCCCCCCCCCCCACTCATGCGAGGAATCGCCCACCTTGAAGGCCTGGAAGATCTTGCGGAAGTGGATGTAGTTGGGGTCGTAGATCTCGGGCTCCTCTGTGATGTACTCAACCTCTACTTCACCGCCAGAGTCCTCCCCCTCCCCGCCGCCGTCCTTCTTGCTCGTGTTGACCGCAGGCACCCCGTCCGGCCGCTGCTGCTGCCGATTCTTCTTGCGCTTCTTCTTGTTCTTGCGTCGACGATTTTTCGACTGGCACGGCACAGGAGCGGTTTTGCTGGTTAGGTCGGGCGGTTGCCGAACGACTGAAATATAAACGCACACACTGCAGGGGCCCTCTTGCAACGACAGAAGTGATGGAGGTGTTTGCTCAACTGTGGGCCTGCCGAAGGTACGTGAAAATCCTATTCGACCGTCAGCAAGCAAAAGGTTGCCCACCCCTGAATTAGTCAATTTGGACGTAAACCCACCCTTCAAGCGTGACGACAAAAGGACAATGTACATTAACCCCATATTATTCGGAGAATAAAAATACAGTATGCCAGGAATCTGTGAGCCATAAGGAGGCTCCCTTAATGGAGCAGCTTGTCATTGTTGTCTCTCCACAATGACGAGTGGCGGTGGCGAGTCCGCCACTTACCTCTTTCTTGGACTCCGGCCCAGTGGAAGCGGCCGGGGTGAGGTTCTCCTCGTTCTCGTTCTCATCCTCATCACCCTCGGCATCGGCCTTCTCCTTCTCCAAGATACTCGTCCTTGCAGATGACTCGTTCCAGTTCTCCCACTCGTCCTCTGAAAGGAAGGAGGATGAAGGCAATGGTGGCGGGGTGAGGATGCGGTGCTGGTCATAATAGAGGTGCTCAAATGCAGTTGCTACCAAGCCGCGGGACTTTTGCATCACCTATTTCGCACATACTCCAACTTATCTCGTTGGATCTCAGCAGCTGAGCAGGTTTGAGGCTGAAAAGTGCTTGGATGGATTAGACATGAAAAAAACTGGTTTTACAGGTACGAGTAGGGCTACTTTGGTGAAATATGGTCAAATAAACCCAGAAAAACCCACACAGTGTGAGGGGGCCCTAATCCAGTGGGCAACTGACAAGTGCAGTCCATGCAATACGTGCGGAGATCAGAAGGCCTGTAAGCCCACAGTCGACAAGAACAATGCTACAATGCCTTTGTTACCAGGTCATGGGCTTTCCATCAATTGTAACACACCGAGATGTAATACAATGTGACAACATAGCACATGGTAACATAATGCAAGTGTCATAAAGAGTGATAGGTGATGCCATAATGCGATATAATGCAGGTTCATACATCATGGGACCTCCTTTGCCAGCACCAAAATATGATAATAGGTTTTTCCCCTTTTATCTGGCAACAAAACAGGTGTTAAGATTTCGATTTAAAGCTTTCGTGACTGCAGGGATTCATCTTCTGGGTTCATTCGGTAAAGTCATGTAGAATGGAGATAAAATAATACAAATAATAGAATAAAATTCTCACGACGTTTTGGCCACAACACAAGTAGCCTTCCTCAGGTGAAGAAACACGACTGTTCGGAAGACAGCGCTTGAGTGAACCCTGCCAAGCTTGACAACGTTTCGACAATCAAGGGTATTTCCCTGTCCCCAGACGACCTGCTTGTCAGTTTTGATGTTGTTTCCCTATTCACCAAAGTTCCTGTACCTGAAACCATCGCAATCATTGAAGATTTGGTTCATCAAGGACTACATACTGATGTACCCCCCTTGCTTAACCAACACATACTTCACCTGGAATGCAACTTTCTACAAACAAATTGAGGGCACCCCAATGGGCTCCCCCCTATCGCCGGTTGTAGCCAACGTATTCATGGAAAAATTTGAGACTGACGCCATCCAGACTGCCACTCTACGCCCGACCTTATGGAAGAAGAACGTGGATGACACTTTTGTCATCTGGCCACATGGCCGGCCTGCTCTAGACCAATTCCTCGGCCACATCAATTCCATACACCCAGCCATCAGATTTACCATGGAAGTCGAAAAAGATGCCAAGCTACCCTTTTTATGTCCTAATTAAAAGGAGACCTGATGGTTCAATGAGCCACTCTGTCTACAGGAAAGATACCCATACGGATGCTTACTTAAAACCGGTTTCCCACCACCATCCATCCCAGAAGAATTCCCTCATCAAGACTCTATACCAGAGCCCAATGCATTTCCGACCAGGAACACATTGCTAGTGAACTCAAGCACGTACACCAAGCTCTCAGGGCTAATGGTTACTCCGACTACACAATCTGCAAAGCCATCACTCCAACCATGAAGAAGGATCCTCTTGAGGAGCCATTCAAAACCATCACCATACCCTACATTGCAGGGGTCACAAAAAAGATCTCCAAAATCCTGAATAAACACAAGATCCAGGTCCGATTCAACACAGTACATAAAATCCGTGATCTGGTTCCGTCTGTAAAAGATGTGGTTCCAAACATACAGTACCCGGGCGTCTACAAACTAAGTTGCGTCTGTGGTAGCAGCTACATTGGAGAAACCAAACGACATATCTCGGACCGCATCCGTGAACATAAAGCAGACTTGAAACACGGTAGGACGAACACCTCAGCCGTGGCAGATCACTGTTATAATTCAGTGGGCTCACATGACATTGACTTCTCCAAGACGGAGGTTCTCTGCAAGCCATCCGGCTAACATGAGAGATTCGTTCATGAGGCTATCCACATATACAAACACAGAGACAATTTCAATCGAGAAGATGGATTCCGGCTTAGTAACCAATGGAAAGACGTTATAAACCATTTCGATTCTTGATTGATTGTATTTTATGGTGACCTTCACACCGCAGTGCATTCACTGGCACTGCCTCTTAGTACCTTTCATACGACAGTCAATAGTATAGTTTATAGCATTTTGGTTAATAATAAATAGTATAACAGTGTAATGTTTAACATAATTCATAAGGCAATATATAGTACCGTAATTGTATAGTAAAATACAGCAGTGTGGTATACAGTAGGGTTAGTATAATAATACATAGTGTAATACTACAAGTCTAATATTTTATAGTTAAAGTATAGGGTGGCGTATAGTAACGCATTGTATAATTCAAGGGTGGGGTTTGTCTATGGATACGATATTATACAATGTAGTTTAGATTGGAAGGTATAATATTGTAATGTATAGTAGTCTAGTTTACAGCATAGTTATAACGCAACACAGGACAGAGCAGCGCACCGTGGCCGTTTCCTCCTCTTTCCCCCCCCCCTCCGTTCTGAACATAAATGGATTCGTTCGTCTGAACAAAGCTCGTCGCTCTCCGTGGTGTTAATCCCTCATACTAACATCATGCTAATCCCCCAGTTACATGCGAATTTATATGTAAACTCCTCTCCCCCCTCCTCCGTTCCGAACATAGATGGACTCGTCCGTCTGAACAAAGCTCGTCGCTCTCCGTGGTGCTTATCCCTCACACCAACATCATGCTAATCCCCCAGTTACATGCTAATTTATATGTAAACTCCTTTGTCAAGGCGCTCTGTTCCTCCCACACAGCTTAAAAGACGCTGTCAAGCTTGGCAGGGTTCACTCAAGCGCTGTCTTCCAGACAGTCCTGTTTCTTCACCTGAGGAAGGCTACTTGTGTTGTGGCCGAACGTCGTGAGAATTTTATTCTGTTATTATTATTTTATCTTCATTCTACGTGACTTTACCGAAAGAACCCAGAAGGTGTTAAGATGTTACAACACCAAATTTAAACCTTTTACAAGGAATCATTTCTACATTAACCACAATGCTTGTGGTCAGAATGCAAACAAAAAACACTCTGATAATATATGTATTGCCAGATAAAAGGGGAAAAACCTATTATCATAGGTTGATAAATGACGAACATAATACTCGAAACAATGTAATGTATACAGCGTATGTGACAGAAAACAGTGAAATGGATACGATACAAAGGGATACGAACGACCTAAGTAACAAATCACCCCCCCCACCATTGCAATAAATCATCACAATTGTGGATCGATGCACAGATTCAATTTTTACTCTTGAAAAAAAAACCTAAACTGCAGTGAATCTATAACACTTTTGGTGCTGTAAACATATACAAATTGGAATTGATTCTTATAAGCATGACTTGAAACACGCAGTATTTTGTGAGTGCAATAGATTTTATCCCATGGGCTTGTGCTGGGGGAGGCCTTTTCCCAGCAGGAGATTGATTGTGGATGATGATGACGATGATCAGAATCGATTTTAAAAGATTCATTATATCCTCAATAAAAATACACGAGTGCAAAATATGCAATGCAAAGCAGTATTTAGATATGTAAAGAAACAGCCATTTGTTTGTGGAGATTGTCTCATTTCACACAAAACCTTGCTGCATCACTGAATATGGAAAAACCAAAATTGCTCAGCCACAAGAGGTTATTTTCTGGCAAAGAAGTGTGGCTCAGTATCAAAAGAAAAGGGCCAACGTGTAATTTTTCAGGGCAAGGCGTTACTGACAATGGTGTTGGTAGAACAATGAAGTGGGACTTGGGCAGGACGAAGTCACAAGATGGGATTTTTTGCCAGTGGCGAAGGCGAACGTAGGAATGTCAGCCAAAGGAGAGAACGCAAAGGAGAATACGCCCACCATGGAGATGGAATGATGACATCAGCTTGTGTGGGCGCTAGATGGATTTCTACATCGCAGGACTGCGAGACATTGCGACGGCTTGGAGAAGCCTTCATCCACAAGTGGATTAACCATGGCTGAAAATGATGATGAATCAGCATGGGCAAACTCCCAGGCGCTACGGCCTTCGCAGAAGTGTGTGCGTGCGAGCGTACCCGTGGTGGGGTCGGCCATCTTCGCCATCTCCTCCTGTCGCAACTCCTTGTACTGCAGCACCCGCTCCAGCGCGTGCGGGATGCGGGGCTCCCCACGCCCTCCGCCCCCCGCCATTCCACTCCCCGGTGCGTTCCCTCCTGGTCCCCCACCGCCTCCATTCTCTTCACCAGGCCCGCCAGGACCACCAGGACCGCCATGCCCACCAGGGCCACCATGTCCACCAGGACCGCCAGGACCGCCATGCCCTCCAGGAACACCAGGACCGCCATGCCCACCAGGACCTCCATGCCCACCAGGACCACCATGCCCACCATGCCCACCAGGCCCACCAGGCCCACCGGGACCATGAGACCATTGCTGCTGTTGGTGCTGTTGGTGCTGTTGATGGTGCTGTTGGTGTTGTTGGTGTTGTTGGTGCTGTTGGTGCTGTTGATGCTGTTGGTGCTGTTGGTGCTGTTGGTGTTGTTGGTGCTGTTGATGCTGTTGATGCTGGTGGTGCTGCAGGAAACAGAGAAGAAATAATAATCAGCACAAATAAAACCCCAGGCTCAAGTCCAAGAAACAGACCCCCCCCCCGCTTTTGTCCTATAATCAACAACTGAATTTGTCTTCTTCAATAAAGTTATTTCAGCCTTTTCTCTATTAAATCGGAGGTAGTTTGGTGGTTCAAAAGTCAGACCACTGAGCTGGTACTGCTGAGATGTTGGGTTCAAATCCAGGAGCTGCCTGTGATTAAACTGGGTTCTCAAGTGTGGCAAGTTAATGATCATAGCCCAGTCACCACTCACTGCACAAAAAATACCATCAAGTAAGCTAAATTTGGATTAACGCCAGCTCTGAGAATTAAAATATTGAGTCCATGAGCCCAAACAATTGCACTTGTCATTATCGCCTGAGCAAGGGAATCTTCAGCAGTTCCAATGTCTTTGTGGCCAATAACAATGAATTATGTTATAACCATTTTAATGAGTGGAATAGACGCAACTATATTTTTGCAACTTCGAAACCCTAGGACTAGTTTGACTCAATGTGACAAACATTACTCAGTACTCAGTGGCAGAGCTGGTAGGTAAGTGCTGCCCTCCATTGCAGACTAGTTTGAGTTGAAGGAGCTCCGTGATCTCTGCTCTTGTAGGTCATTCTTTAACACAAAGGGTTGCACTTAATTTCAAGCGTTTTGAATGGATACATGTGTAGCGAGTCATTTCGGAGACACTAGTTAGGAGGCAACAAAGTGTATTCTACCCTTATGCAACACCGTTACACATGGGACTAAATACACCTATCTCTCACTCTTGTTACACACGGGACTACAATGCACCTATCTCTCTCGCATACGGGGTAACTATAATATAATCGGGTCAGAGCAGCCAACGTGCTGTCTGACCCAAGATGTCGAAGACGTTGCACTTGGGTTCCACTTCACCTGAGACAGCCCCGATATTCGATCGGAGCTCCCCTTTTATCCTTCTCGTCGGAGCGGACTGGCTCCACCCTCGGCCGCGCCTACCTCTGGAATATTCCCGAAGGTTCCAGGCTACCTTACACCTGTTCCCTCTCTGGCTCCGCCTTTAACCACGCCCCCTTCGGAAACTCTCGAAACGTTTCTCAGCTACTCTTCCTGTGTCCCCTCGTTCACCTTTGGCCCACATTACTAACCCCAGCCCATCACGTGCTTAACCCGGTACCAGGGTGACTCGTCCTCACATGCCCCCTACCGCCAGCCGCCCCCACCACACTCCCCCAGTGACCGACTCTGTGGCAATAACCTGCGGCGCTGGCGGAGGCTGCTATCCCCTACTCTGCCGGTAGGACTCATCTGGCTCTCTTCTGCTAGCACGCAATACCATGCCCCTAGTGATCCACGGTATGGTACTGCACGGTGTTAGCCTCTGCGCCCGTTTCTACGGCACGCGGCGCTATGCGCCGTAGTGATCCATTTAACATCGCTACACATGTTTAAATTGCTTTTCAAATCATCATTTGCTCCTACACCATCTGCTCTTTCTAATCTGTAGCCTCCTACAACTTCCAATAACCAATTATCCTGTCTTCCCATGTCCCCACAATGGGCACGTCACCCCTATTTACATGGCGGGAGGGAGTCTTAAGAACCAATCATGTAGACGATTTATAAAATACAAATTTCAATGTATGACGGTGACAATGGGAGTATGGTGTGCATCTCAGTGGGAGGCACGAGGCACCGTCGCCAGTCGTTACCATGCGGTCTTCGCCCGGTGGCGGCGGCAGGAGACCCATGCGGGATCCTGGCATGGGCCCCAGGCTCGGTCGCGACATGAGAGGCATGATGGGCATGGTGGGCACGGGTCCTGCGAGCGCAAAAGAGCAGAGGCTCAATAACCACCACACGACAGACATGCATCACAAAGGCGCGCATTACGAAGACGACACCTGCCAGCATGTGCACCACTGCACACACAGCGGCAGCTGACTCTTCATCACACGGACGAGCGATTTTAATGCTTTCCAACAAAGACTGAATGCATCCATGCATTACTGCAGTCCATTCATCCGTGTGAAAGCTGACCAAAATTAATGAAAGGGTTGAATGATAGAAATCAGTCAAAAGAACAATTTGCACGTATGCAAATATGTTTTGCTCCGACAGTTAACCGTCAAGATTCGATACTGCTAAATGAAATGCTTTCAAAAGTAAAATCTTGTTCTGAACTTGACTTAATTGCAGTTGTTTAACAAAACCTTAACAAAGCTGGCACAGGGATATTATGTGAGATGACAAGATACTTGAGTAGAGTAGTGCAAGGTAAGGAAATAAAACAAAAACAAAATAGGACCCTCCCAATACAAGGTTTGAATCTTAGCAAGTCTTTCCTGGGTAAGTAAAATTATTATTAACTATTTGATTCCTGCTATTATCCAGGCCAACAGTACACCGAGTTTCAATGCAATGAAAATATACAACTTGCCACCCCCGCTACTCCAAGGTGCTACAAAGATGGGGTCAAGACGAAGGGGAAATCATATGCAATGAGAAAGCAATATTGATTTGAAGCTTTCGTGACTGCAGGAATCCATACTCTTCGGTTCTTTCGGTAAAGTCCCGAAGGTATAAAATAAAATAAATCACGTTTCGGGCGCAACAAGCGTCCGTCATCAAGTGGGAAAGCACGCTTGTGTTGCGCCCGAAACGTCGTGATTTATTTTATTTTATACCTACGTGACTTTACCGAAAGAACCAAAGAGTAGAGAAAGCAATAACCAAGAGGATCATTGTACAAATATAAAAATTTGTTTGAAATATATCAGTCCAACAGCCTTCTGGGAGTGCATCATTTTAGTGATATTGCTTTAGTACAAGCAGAAGGCCAATAGGTTGTGTAAAAAAGTTTTTTCAGACACTTGAATTAGACATTGTCAATTTTACATGAAGGAGTGAGTCAAGGAAATAAAGGAATAATGAACCGGCGAATCACTAGTGTTTCTACATGGTCAGTGCGCAGCAATATGGGGTAGGCCGATCCCCACCCTCTCCTGTCAGTGGGAGTGGAGGAGGGGCAGTCTCCCAGGGAAGACTGACTGGCTCAGTGGACAACTGAGCAATAGACCTATCGCTTACAACCATCGCGGCTGGCAAGGCCTGCCAAAATCTTACACACAACTCGACATATGTATGGAGAGAATAAGAGGATCACTTTAATCAATTAACTGTAAAGTGGTTACGTAATACCGTTTTAGCATATGCAAAGGTAGTAATTTGTTGCGTGGATTTTTAAGCACCAAACTTGCTGTTTATTTCTTTAGTGGCATAAACAACTTACCGCGTGGCCCCAGGTTCTGCCTCATCTTGTTGTGCATCTCTTGTTCCATCATATGGGCTGCCTATTAACCACAAACACAAAACACACACGCAACTTGCAAGGAAGCACCCACAACCAACGGACGCCGCCTAAATGTCATTGCTTTCTATTATCTGAACTTAATCTGAGCTTCGTTGCACCGCGATACCTCATCACTCGACGTGTTCTTTCTTTAACTTGTCGATATAAGAATGGACATAACTTAAAATTAGTTGTAAAGTATCTATTGTGGCTTTCAAAGGCACTCGAAAGAGACGTGGCTTATACCAACCAACCAGTACTATACTGAAAGTGTTGACTAAGTGAGGCTTTCCTGAGTAAATACTGCTAATTCCCAATTAAACTGTATCATGCAATTATAGCTTAAGATTTCCATCAGACTTAAAGACTTACGCGTTTTTGTTGCTGAAGAAGAACCATCTCCTGGTTTTTCATTTTTGCCTCGCGTTCCTAAGGAAAAAAAACATCCTTGTCTTTGAAAACACTCAGCCAACACGTCGCGCACACACTACAATAATGCACTTAATACAATTTCAAGACAGGGCAGTGTGCGAGTGGCCAGCACCCTTGCCTCAGGCCTATGTGTACAGGTTATGATCCAACATCAGCTAAGGTGATGGGAGCAGCTAAGGTGATGGGAGCACCTTAGTGATGGGATCACCTTAGTATAGCCGAATTCTACACCTTAGAACAAGTGCGGAACAATCATGCTTGCGTGTGACTTATACAACACTTTTCAATAGTCGTTGTCCTCAGAAGTATTGAATTAGTAAAATGTAAGCTGACGACAACTGCCAAAGTGAAATGCATTTGTATGTTTGCCTGGTGTTTTTACACTTATTCTTTGGTTCTTTCGGTAAAGTTCACGTAGATAGAAAAAAAATAATGTGAATACACTTGTTTGTCTCCTAGTTTTGGGCAACCCTTTGATCAATTTGGGTGGTTTCAAATTGAAGTCCCTCGTTGCAAAAAAGTGATACCTGTACTTGTTTTGTTAATATTCGACCTTTAGAACAATTATAGCGCCCCCTTGTTAAAGACGGAGACAGCCAATGCACAAATGCTTTAAATCTTGGTTGGAAGGATTTTATCAATGGCAGCAAGACCAAAGATAGCCAACGAGCAGGGACGATGACAGTAAACAGCCGATGGACCTCCACACGATCATCATCTCTCCCTTAATCACAGTGGTCATGGGAGCGGCACTGATGTCTCGGCTGCCAACTCTTTCTGTCCTGCACAGCCTCTGTTGGGTGCTAAACCAGTTCATCTGTCACACCCTACCTGTTGCATAAGCATGGCGGCCTGCTGCTGAGCGAGCTTCAGCTTGTCATCTTCTGACAGCTGGGAGGTATTGATGTTTTGCATGGAGCCCGGCAGAGCCATGCCCGAGGGTGGCATGGGAGGACGGGGAATTCCCGACTGGGGCATGGTTGACAGGGGCATTCCAGAGTGGGGCATCGTCGATGGGGTCATAGTGGAAGAAGGCATCCCAGATGGACCCATCACATTTTGGGGCATCCCGGAAGATGACATTGGGATCTGCCCACCCTTTGCCAGCACGTTAACCTGCACACACAGGTACAGAACACATCAGCATCATCATTATTGTTGTTGCTATAACACAAGTATCTCTACTACAGTGCCAGGATTTACTGGGCTTCCATAAAAAAGTATAAGAACTAAAATTGTTCAAGTAAAAATCTCCCTATTTTTATTCGAATAAGTTGAGTAATATAGTTTTACAAAGTAGAATTGCTTGTTTTCAACAGCAAGGACTGGAATTGTGTGCTGCGATTAATGCATTGACTTTACAATAGCATACTGATCACTCCCCTCAATAATTTAATAGAAAGCATCGTGTGCAGTAAATATGGACATAAAAACTAAACCACGATATCCTAAATAATTTATTTGAGAAAATAAAAAGTGTGCGTACATTTTTTTGATGTTCATAAATATTGTTTATTTTTGTCAGTTATGTAAACATATTTAGCCATCTTAGCAATCTTCCAAACCCTTTTTACATATATATGAACCTTATGGCGGGATCCCGGGGTCCCATAAGCCCACGGCTCTCGCATAAACATTCTAATGTAAACAAAACCGTTGCTCTTTTTCACCAATGGGCTTGAAGAATGGTGCCTTTAAAACTGAAAATTACTTACCTGCAGTACCTCTATTTAAATACACTATCGAATTTGTTTTACACCCCTCTGTCAATCATTGTGTTTCTAAGTGTAGATTTGTGAATACACTTTGCAAACAGTACATAAATTAGTACGCGTTTTAAATGCGCTGTTCATATTGTAACAAGCGTTTATACCACTATTACTCTACAGAGTAGTGGTTCGTCGCTCCTCTTATCCGCATTGATACGAGCGGTATGTGGGGACTATGGCTTAACCGCAAAAAAAAACCTATCTGCACAGATGCATACGGACAAGAGAAGTATTATCAAACAGGAGGAATTAACGGTGCAACGCATCTCATCTGTTAAATTCTCTCCAGGTAATAAGATTGTCATCGATTGATCCTGGCTGCTGACATTGTTAGGTCACAAATAATACTGGTAGGAACCTCCTGGTTACACCAGCCCACAGGGGATTATTGTGTCCGTCCGTCGTGCATCCAAAAATGGGAGGGGTGGGGCTGGGTGGAGAGGGGAGGGTGGGGAGGGGTTGGGTGGGGAGGGTGGGGAGGAGCTGGGTGGGGAGTGGGAGGGGTGGGGCTGGGTGGGAGGGGTGGGGAGGGGCTGGTCACCCCGTGGTGCCCTTATACAACTCAACGTTTGACCTACTCACGCCGGTTTGTGCCCGCCCTCACAGTCGGGCATATTTGAGGAATACACCACGTGGTGCCGCCGTTGACCCTGGCCATTGCCCGAGCAACCCAACGTTCCTACCAGCTCCCTCCGCAGGAATGTGTTAATGCAGATAAGAGAGCAATTATGCATACCGTTATGACAAATAAAGGACTTAAGTCGTGTAGGCAGTTTGCGCAGCTTTGGATAAAACTTATGATCCTGCCCATACCCGAGCATGGAGTGCATTTGCTTGTTCAGCTCTTCTGCGCATTTGTCCTCGCTGCGCTTGCACATGACAACAGAATGATTCGTGCCAGGTGGGTCGCGGTGTTTATGTGCACGGTGGGAAGGAGTCGCCAAAAATAAATAAATTAATTACGATTCCATAGCATGATGTGAGAAGCGAGCGTGAACTTACCAGCGTTTCAGTGAGAATCTTAGCTGCTCGCTCCTGGACCTGTTGCATGGTGGCTTGTGCCATCTGTGGCAAAACACAGAAAGAGACACCAACATTTTGCATGGCAAGTTCTGTCAACAAGAAACTATAAAGACGTACAGCAAAAAAAATGAGGGAGTGATGGGACCAATGCTACAGAAGCTGGATATATGCACACTTCTTTTGAGATTATATCTGAAGTTTGCTTATATCGCAAGTGTGCTTGTATCTGAAGGTGCCCTTTGCCTTCCCCCACCATTCTTATTCTGTAATGTGGTTGGCTACATACCTCCGATTAGTGCGGTTCCCTACATACAGTGTGAAAGAAGTTCAACATACATACATTGTCATGTAAGCACGTGTTGCTTATATCAGAATTGTGTTCTCATAGGGGTGTGTTAATATTCAGCTTGTCCTGCATTGACACCAGACCACATCGGTCGTTCTAGTTTTTTAGTTAACTTAGTGGAAACTCAGACACGATATACACAACGAATGATAACTGTGTGCATGGCGACGAATCAAAGGCATGTCGCTGGGTACTAACCATTTGTTCTGCTGGGATCCCAGAGTCCGCTTTTCCCATCTCAGGCATTCCAGGAGGTCGAGCAAGGATGGCTCCAGTCTGCACAAAGCAAAGATGATATTATTCACACATTGCATAATGCTTGACCACAGGAACAAAATATCTATACAGCTTGAAGCAGTGTTTTTTTTTAGATTTGTGGCATTAGGACATTAACATCCATGATGGAAACACAATCACTCAATACAGCAAGCAAAGGTGTACATTCAGAGGAAAGCACAACTTATTTGTGTCTATACTGCTGGATGAAGTGAGACGAGTGGTAAGATATTCTGAAGAGATGACCACTACTCTACAAAAAGAATTGGCAACAGCCAAGATTTAACAGTTTACAGCATAAACTCATCTCCACCATGAAACAAACACACTCAACAAAGATGAAAATTAAGACACAAATTGGTTTGTGATGGTGTTAATGTGCACTTAAGACTAATAACTAAAATCTAGTAGTAGAATGTGGTCAATTATAACGTATACACATATATAATGTTCAAATGTGGACATTTACCTTCTTGCAGTAGGTCTGTAAGCGCAGTACAAGTTCATGCTTCTGTCCTGTAATCAAATAAAGCAAACACAGAGCCACTGTTATAGACGCTGAATCTCAACACAAACAGCAGTTATTAAGGGAATGAGTGTTCAATCTAGATTTAAAAGTGCATAACTCCAGTCGCTTCCTAATATCGGAAGAGCGTTCGAGACGACCGCAGAAGCGCGCGATACATGGGACCAGCGTAAACATAACAGTAAGAACGTCCAATGTTATAACGTAATCCAATCTATAACGGCAACATGCTGTTAACGTATTAAAAACAAGGTTGTTTAAAAACAAATCAATGGATGCGACTTTAACGTCAATAGCAACGCAGACCAAGTTCACGACGCAGCCACACTTAGGCCTCGCCTAACACCCGAGGCCTTGCGCGTGCACCCCCCGCGAGCCCGCGACGTGAGAGGTGGAGGAGGGAGGGGAAGAGGAGGGGGGGGGGGGTCGAACCCCTCGAACGACGCAGCTCCCTGGGTTGCATCACTCACCTACCACCGGCTGCCCGAGCTCCATGAGCTTCGAGTGAAGCTCCGGCAGCGTCCAGCTGCTGAAAGCGCTGATTTCTGCGCCCTGCTGCTGCGCGTCCGCCATGACGCCGTCTCGCGGCCACCGGAAATCGCGATGGGGGATAGTGGGGAGGGGGGTACAGAAAGCCCCCCCCCCTCCTGCCTCAATTCGTTCGGATAATTTATAAAATATAATTTTAATGCTTGGTGCGTTTACGCGTGTTTGTGGCAGTAATGCAAGTGAAAATTTTGTTTTTGAAGATTTGTCGCATTCGTTTTGTTGTACGTGAGTGAAGGCGACTTGCCGGAACTTGGGGGTCAACATGGGAGGTCGCGCGCCCACGTGACGCGACATAACCCGCCAAAGCCGGCGAGTCGCGGCCGCCGGAAATTGTGCATCGAGGTGCGGGGGTGGGGGAGGGCCCATTTTTTGGGGGTAATTTAAATAATATCTAAATTCTCAGTGTAATTATTCAACTCGATATAAAATGTATTGAATGCAAATACCCGTATTTTTTTTACATCCAAACACAGCAGTTTTAATATTTCACAAAAAAAAATTGCCGGAAGTTGTATCGGTTGCGAGGTCGCGCGCCAACGTGAGGCGCCGTGACCCAGTATGGCGGCGCCCAGGCGGTGCGTGATCGTGCAGTGGCGCTGAGCGGCGGAGTGGCGAGAGTTTGCGACGACCTATTAACACGAGGCGAGGTGAAGCATTGCAATTGCATTAGCGCTAACAGCCCCATTTGCAGGGGCGTAACTGGTGGACCTCCTGACGTGTCGCTAACCTTTTCGCCGGTACGAATGTTGGTGTTGTTATCCAACTGTCAAGGTGGAATGACTTTCGCAGGTTAGGCTCCTCGTAGTGTCATGCGTTATTTCATCTTTGATTGAAAATAATATTGTACATTATGGATCGGGTCATTCAACAAAACATTTTTTTACAGATGTAAGGGTGTTTGCTTGTGCCCCCTGAAAAGCAGTTGATTTTCGCGGCAAATGAATGCATTGGATAAGTTGTTGGTGTTTTTGCCGTTGAGGCGACGTTCGGACAGCTTGAGAAATGAGTTTCTGTCAAGTTGTGCAGCGTAGACCAGGGATACGTGGACAACTTTCACTGCGGTTTAGAATAAACACCACCAATGGTTGCGTAAATATTTCACTCGCCAAATAGGCATAGTCTCATTCATCAGTCCCATCTCTCCTCGAGTCCGTGCGCGCGCTCGTTTAGCCCCATCTATCCGGCCGCACAGAAGCTGCTTGGGCATGCGGTGGCTGGGCATGGGGTGGCTGGGCATGCGGACTACATGACCCGGTCACCGCAGTCTCGCTTTCCAGAGGAGCTCACTGATGGGACTGTCCAGATCTTTCAAGGATCTGTGAGCTCCAGCATTGAGATATCTATTCTCATTGTTCCGATTGACTTGATGTGCATTAATTATTGACGTGGTGACAGCCCGTTTCGTTTGATTACTTCGTTTGTAAAAGGGGGACTGCTTGGAATGTTTTACAAGTGTCGGTCTCTGCTCACGCTTCTGTATATTGTCAAGATCATACTTCTGAGATTGCCAATTGAAATGTTATAATGGCCACGTTTATTGCTCTTTTCAATGGACCCGTATGAATGGATGTCACATTGCGGCAACATAAACCCTTGTGGAATTAACAAAAACATGTAAACAAAAATGTGGCATGACACCCATTGATAGTGGCCACCAGAGGGCATCTAACATCCACGGTTTTTTTGGAGCTATGTGGAAATTGAAAAATACATGTATAAATGTTGTGATATATTCTATGTAATTGTAAATTAACCCGTGTATATTCATAATAAAGGTTTTTGGGTTAGATCGCGTTATTTATAAATGTGTCGTAACCCTCCACCACCCGACACGGCCAATCAGCAAAAAAAGTGTCACGTTGACAAATAACGCGATCTAACCCAAAAACCTTTATTATGAATAATATTGGTCGCGAAAGCTTACGTGTTAAACTAACCCGTGTATAACTAACTATAAATCGCCTTTCCGAATTAATGTATTTCTAACGCTCTGAGCAAGGTGTTTTCTTAAATATTATAATTCCACTTTTGGTTGAATATGGAATTTCGATCATAGAGACAGCAGATATCGTCTGGAGTAAACCCATTTAACGGAGCGATTTAAAAATAGACACTCACGTACCGTTTGTAATTTTTAAAAATATTTTGTTGGTAAATGGTAACACCTTGGTTTAATATAATAGGCATTTTAAGAAAATGTGATTTTTTTTTTAGTTATTGAGTAGTTATGATATAGTGTGCAATTAAATCGCTTTTCATTTTAGGACATTTGAATTTAAAACGTAGATGTGAAGAAATTCAGGATTACAGTATATACATAAATTTAGGAGTTGAACAATTTAAAAACACCATTTTGCCTCTCTCCATTGATGATACATACTATGGCGATAATGATTATGGTGATGCAAAAGGCCGATCTGCCAATTTATATTGGCAATTTATATTGGCAGATCGGCCTTTTTAAAAGCACACAGTCATTTGCATACAGAAATGCCCAATTCATGTTGTCAGCATTCACAATGCCACGCGAAAGCGGGAAGATTGTTATATTTGATTAAACCCAGACGTGCCTCAATCGTACTCTACACACAGATTCAAGCACGTACAAATGTGCATGCAAGCAGTGCGGTAATTACATGCACGAGCGGTAGGAATCCGTCATGAAGCAGCCTACGTCTAATTAGTGCAGTCCTTATAATTACTTCACTGAAGTACAGTTGCATTTTAGTGATTTACATAATTGGCTTCATTGCAGCGCTTTAGTAATTGTTTTTAGAAAATTACCCATGAGTCTGTTGTCCTTTAACAGGTTTGTGAAATAATTGAAATTCATTCATTCCAACGTTGACAATGCAACAGTGTATAAATGTGGAGTGTGTATTCACGTGTAAATAGATTGGATGTTAAATTGTTTTGACCACGTTGGCAGATGAAGTAAATATAAAAACTCATTGACAATATTCAATGGCTAAATTATGAAAAAATGTTTTAGAATGTGTCCTGACCTTTTGAAATGTTGCATATATCAGCAATACATTGCTTAAATATATTTTCCACTCTTTGCTGCTTGCTGCTATCATCAGAATAACACGATATCCAGAGCGAAGCAGAGCAAACTCCGTTAACTTTGCACCGATATTGATATCCCAAAGAATGCTATTTAATATCCAGAGAAAGAAAAAACGAATAAGTTAATTATATTTCTCAGTGTTGACATAGCAAAGTGCTTTCATAATTCACTTTACAGCAGGTCCCTGCAATCTAATTAACAGAATGATCACACTCCCTGCACATATCCCTCGATAAATGGGTTGTAATTGTTATTGGTGCTCCAAAGATTGTGCCACATGTCAATCTTGGGACGAGCGCTCTTTCTCACAAGCATCAGCCCTCGTTGGCAAATGCTCATTCACACCAACGCTAATGGGGCAATGTATCTTATACGCTTGCGCCATCATGTTGGCGCGGGAGAAAACGCGCAGTGTGAAGCTTTGTGCATTCACGTTACCGTAGCACAGTTTTCATTATGGCAACAAAAATAACCCAATAGAAAGTTTAATGATGTTCGTAATGGCTTAATTGAAAGGAAATTAGGATGCTATAATTAACGTAGTTAGCTTTGTTTCAGAGCTGCTCTGCAGGGGTTGGGGTGTGTGCTGGTTTACAAGGGATACTGCATTCGATTTCCTGAAAGCGCCCCCGAAGGCTGATAGATTATACATAATTTTCTTTCGGAGATTACGCAAAGCCCCTTAACTGCATAATTGTTTTATATTATCATATAATGATTTTAAAAGGCCACTCTTTTTTTTACTTGTCGAGGTTTGCATCAGCTTGCTTGTCACCTCATTGTAAAAAAATAATTCCATCTGTCATGTTAATAGACAAAGTGTGTTGGGATTGGTGTGGCTGTGAATGTCAAATGTCTCCTTACTCAAGCATACAATGGAACGGTATTCATCTTTGCTGGTTGCCTCAAGTTGGTGGTGGAAATTCCATTTTCCTCTGGCGGGGGCCAATGGTTATATAGGAGGGCCACTGTTGATGCCTGTACAGAGTGGAACTCATTTTAGTTAAATCTTGACTTAAAGCTTTTGTGAATGCAGGAATTAATATTCTTGGGTCTTTCGTAAAGTTACGTATATAGGTTCAAAGAAGCATCGTGATCATGCCTCCCAAGTAACTAAAATTATATTATTGGGTCTTTCGTAAAGTCACGTACATAGGTTCAAAGAAAGTCACATAGATAGGTTCAAAGAAACCTATCTACGTGACTTGACCGAAAGACCCAAGAATATCATTTTAGTTACTCTGGAGGCATGATCACGATGCTCTGCTGTTATTTATATAATTTTCATGTTTTCTGGCCACTTGGCACTGTGGCTAGAGCACGCATCTCACAATCACAGTTTTGAATAAAGATTAGATTTAGGAAGTTTTTGGAAGGGATCTCAGAAGTTGTTCTGTGATATCTTCTTCTACAGGATGTTACTCTAACATGTCGTAGTTTTTAACTATCTCTCGAGAATTACGAACATTTCCTTGATCTCAAAATGTCAATGATTTTGGTGGAAATGTATTTAATTCCAGGAAAGGGATTGATGAAATTATAATTCTTATACATATTTTTTCAGCCCTTTGTTAATGTACTGCTGGATGAAGACCTCCAACACTCTCAATCATGGGGGTTGTTTGACCATGCATACTTCATCATGCTGGTTATTGGTGGTCAGTAAAGGGCTTAGAGAGTGGTGGGGAGTGCCCAGCACTGATCACTGATATTCGGCATGACTGGGTATCAAACGCAGGTCGCCGGGTTCAACAGTAATCTTCTTCGGCGAAATATCCAAATAACCCTACCTCCTGCCATGTGAATGTGGAATTTTTTAACACTGGCTCACGAGGGCCGGTGGACAAGGCTGCTGATTGTCGCTCGATGCTCGCTTGAGCAGGGAGATGCTCAGACGTCGTTTGTCGCATTTTGGCCACTCGGCGCTCGGTCCTTAGTGAGGTTCTCCTTTCCAAATGGCCTCCTTCCCCCCGCACCCCTACAGGGACCTCCGAGGATGTCGAAGGTGACGAAGATGGGGAAGGCGGCCAAGGCCATGAAGAAGGTGGAGCACAATAAGACTATCCGCACAATCATCCGTGCCGGCCAGGCCATTCCTGGGCCACCACTGGGACCAATTCTGGGACAGGTGAGGTGCGGTCGCATAGCAAGCTTGTCCGATCGCGATGGCCCAAACGTAAAGTCTCGAGGGATCTCGCCGGATCGTTGATACTCACGATCGCCCAGCGAATTTGTTGTGTAGAGGTGTATTTTTGTCTTCTTTTCTCGAATTGCTGATGCGATGCTCACTGCCGTGCTGTTCTGTCGGGAAACTGTCACCGAAGCGATAAGCTCTCCCATGGGTTTTCGGGTCGTACTGTGTGTCGTTCGGCACAATGTCTGGTGATTTGCTGTACGTGCTGGGATCTTCTTCAGAACGGAATAGTTCGCGGAATATTCAGTTCCTTGGAGAAGCAGCACAAACGTGAAAACCTATGTAACTTGTGTCTCTAATCCTATTTGCCGCTACCAGATCCGGGCCATGTACGGAGGGGGAGCACCGATCTGGTCGCTCATTTAAGTCGAGAGGCGTTATATTTCAATTCTGATCTTGTCACATCCCTTCACAGTGAGCAGTTGTTTGTATGTGTGTATGTTGAACTTCTTTTGCAATGTACGTAGCCAACCGTGCTAATCGGAGGTCTGGGGTAAGGACAATAAGTTTAAAATCGAGATTTCAAAGTGCATAGCTCCAGTGGCTTCCTAATATCGGAAGGAAGGGCGTTCCAGATGGCCGTAGAAGCGCACCTGAAGCGCTCGATGCAGTGACTATTTTTGTTCAATGCTGCGAGGATGACCAGAGTTTACGTGATGGTTTATGCACATTGATGAGATGAGCAAGGTATTGTAGTTCATTTGTTGCAAGCACTTTGAATGTAATGAGTGCAACCTTATAATGTATTTGTTCAGCAATCAGAAGCCAATACAGCAACCGGAAACCAATGTTATTGAGATAGGTGGAACAACTGTTTGCACAACTTGACAAAATCCAGGTCTACCTGTTGTGAAATGTAAAGTGATGTTAGATGTTTACAGTTTTGTACATTTTTTACAACAACCCAAAAATGAATGTTTTCATTTACTTCTGCATTTCAGGTACACTGAACTCTGAACTCTCATACGCCATTGCTTACCTGATTAATTAATCTGTTGCCTCAACTGATGTGAACGGTTGATTGGGTAAATAGTTAACAAGCGTGTGGGTGGTGGAAGTGATGTGAGTGGCAGTAGGTTGGGCGGTGGGTGGTGGTGGTAGGAGGGGAGTGCATTGTTGCGTTTGTCAGGCACACGTGATAATGCTGGCAATAGATTGAATGTGAATCGTAACATCGGGTAACCCTCTTTGTGTGACCACAATACATCGTTCGCAAATGCTTCGCGGCTGCCTCAGTGTACGTCGATGCAGCCCACATCCATCCTCCTCCCTCATTGTCTGTCCTCGTTTGTCACGGACATTCTTATTTGTCTGCACATCTCCCCAGCTGTCCCTCTTTCTGACCTGTTGTGCCCCTGTATTTATGTATGTACTTTGAACTTTTGCACCATACGTAGACAGCCGGGCTAATCGGAGGTGCGGGAAAAACTGTGGCCGACACACTGAGTTTATTTGAATATGTTTACGCTTCTCATGAAGGTTGAAAGTGATGAATAATTTTCTCTGTTTGTCTGACAGGTGTGGGCGGCGGGGGGGTGCAGTAGGGAGAGGCCGACCCTTTGAACTTAGCCTAGAGAAAACTGGCCACTTGATCAAAGCTAAATTTGGCGATTAAAATGTAGTGCTAAGAAGGGATTTATTTGCCTTGCGTTGACGTCATTACCTGTGACACTGCGAGTACTTCACATAGCATGTGACGTCATCACGTTGTGTGGCTTTGAACGTAAAGTTATTATCCTTAATTAAATGCTGATGAGAAACGCTTTTTTGAAAGCATTACAGAAACACGCATAGCTTCATCTTTCTTCCTAGTTTAATATGTGTCTTACCTCATGTTAAATTAATTGACCTACGGACCATTAGTTTTATGTTTACCGTTGAAGTATTGTCAGGGAAATTTCACAGTTTGGTCCCATCAGCTGACACGGCCAGTGGTGGTGGCTCTTGCCTCCAGCCTCTGAGGGAATGGGGTCAGCACAAGCTCCGCCTGGGGTTATTAGTCACAGCTGATGCGTTACAGGTGCTTTAATTGATAATTGGAATGCAGAGACCGCGTATAATGCTCCCGGAGCTGGGCTCCGATCCAGGCCCCTTCCCCTGGGACACAGCATGAACTTAATGCTGCCATCTGCTAGGGAAGCGTAAATGAAGCTCTCCTCGTGGCATTCCAATCATTCAACAAAACCACCTGCACGCATTATTGGAAACTAGACAACTAGACGTGGCATCTGTTAACTCACCCCACAGCCTCCTCAACCAGCAGCTACCAGCAGCAACCACGGCCCACGGACCTCATTTCGCAGGAGCAGAGGTGTAGAACCTACGATAACATGGCTTCCATGCATGGGGCACATGGCTTCATTTTGCACGGCCTGCTACTTTCTTTCAGACAGCCTGCGTTCACGTGAAGCTTCCCGCTCTCGAAACAACCCACAAACAGAATCGTGCATTTAGAATGTTTGGCTGCTATACATTTCCACGTGATAAGCCACTTCGTTGAGCTACCGTTTGTGGCCAGGTCTCTTCTGAAAAAGAGCTATATAGCTCAGTGGCCTTTGCCTGGTAAAAAAAAAATATAGTAGTTTAAATAAGTCATAGCAAGCACGTTAGCTGCACTAATTGGGTATGAGAGGGAAATACTTCCAAATTGACAATAATTATCTGTTTCTAACTTTAGCGCATGCTGACACTTTTGTCACTGTGAGGGCCACGCATGTTATTTTACGCGATAGTCGGTAACGCTGAGGTTCGCGTTCACGCAGGGCCCATAAACCTCCTAAACCTCCCAAACTCCAGTCCTTGACCCACCACAATCGTTTTCACATTTGCCGGTTTTAGTTATAATACGTATTTAGGTAGTTACACATTCCATTGCTAAATAATAGCCGCGCATGAATGCATAGAGTTCTGATTCAAATTAAGAGTGCTGTACATTACACGGCAAACACAAGTACATAAATACACACAAGATAGCCATCTTAATTTGAATCTGCGCTCTCTCCCCTATGTTATTTGCAGTACGATTAGCAATCATCATGCACGTGCAGCGTGTAACAACTTAATTAGTATTTGAACGGAGAGGAAGGGTGAGCTTGGGAAAGGGGTGGCAGACCGGGGAGAGAAGCAAATGACTGGAGTATTCCTGCCTAAGGCAGCATCTCCATGATCCATGGCTCCCAGACAGCGCGTGGTATTTAAGTCACGCCACGAAGTGCAATCAGGAAGGCGGGGAGAGTGGATGAGCGACAGGAATACTCGCCCCTGGAAACGCGGCAGCGCTACTTTACCGTAAAAAATTACAGAACCTGGTGGAGGAAAAGCGAGAATAAGTATGGAGAGTAAATAATAAAAAGGGACGGATCAAATCGCAGAATGCGCAGCAACAGAAATGCACAGTGAAAAATTGCGCTGGGGAAGAAAACAAAATAAAACCGATCTCGCCCTTAAAATTTTAAGTCGCGATCCGCACCTCCATAAATTGTGCTCGTTGCAACGGGTAACAGGCATTGAGAAGATGTCACGTAACAGTAAGAATAATAATAATAATAAGCCAGTGCTTAATAAAGCGCTCGGCTCTTCAGACTGCCTGCTTAGAGTCATAAGCATGACTCTAAGCCGCGGCGTCGCCAGATAATATATGAGCCACCGCAGGCTTTGCCAACGAAGGACAGGGGCGGAGGGCAGGGGGGATGGAGGGGTGAAACCGACGGGTATTTTGCAGAGCCGGGGGAGCAAAGCGCCGAGAAGTCATTCTGGCTTGGGGCCCATTCCACTCGCCGTGAAATTCATGACGGCGCCTACGCTCGCTAAATTATGAAGGGCGCTGAAGTTTATTACGAAAGTGGATGCGACGCACTGACATCCGCACGGAGCGATTTGTTTCGTGTTTTGTTCTATTCTTTTTTTTATGCAAGGCACGGTCTTGTTATTCACGGTGCATTTTGTGTCGCGCACGCGTGCAAAGGGAGAGTGTTTATGTAAATACCACACTGTATTAGACTTCATTCCCGTGGCATTTTTCAGGGGCCAGCCCCCCCCCCCCCCTCACCGTTCCCTACTGCACAAAAGTCTGGGATTGTCTTTATAGGAACTGCCAGATTCACTTTGTCAAGCATCACGCAGTGAAAAACAGACCACTTAGCACTACAGCTAGATCACCTGGTACTACCCCTAGACCACCTGACTCTACCGCTCGACCATCCGGCACTACTGATAGACCACCCAGCACCTCCGCTAGACCACCCGCCACTACCGCGAGACGACCCGTCACTAAATTTTGATTTAAAGCTTTCGTGACTGCAGTAATTCATATTCTTAGTTTTTTCGGTAAAGTCACGTTGACTTTACCGAAAAAACTAAGAATATGACCCGTCACTACTTGCTAGACGACCCGTCACTACCGCTAGACCCACCCAGCACTACCACTAGACCACCCAGAAATGCCACTAGATCATTCATAATCGTGGAGAAGCACTTACCATAGGAGAACAAAGTTTACATTTTGGTTTCTTGACAGAATCTCCAACTGACTACTTAAATCGAATCAATACAGTTTTTGGTTATGACCTCAATTCATTGCCAAGTTTAAGAAAATATTTCCCATCCAATTTTGCACGGTCATTTGCATGATACATTTACAATTTCCACGCACCCGGCTCAAAGCGGGTTTTAAGCCGAGGGCTTAATAACATCGACGATGTCACCGCCGATGTCACCGCGTCGCACTGGCCACGCACCTCTGCTGAATTTCCCACGGTTTTCGGAGGACAGACGGATGCCCAGCGTGTCATTTTTACATGTCTGCCGATAAACGTGAGGAAATAATTGCAATTAAAATCAACTAAGCAATCCATCACAGATTTCGTGCCACCGTTATGGAATCCAGAGGGCCGGTCGGTGTCTCCACTGAACATCGTTTTATTCCATGGCCAGTG